CAGCTTCCTCAACTCGATATCTCGTTCAGCTGCTCCAGTTCAGTATCTCCTATACTGTAATCCTGGATGTTACTGTAGCTACTTCTAATGTCTCCAAAATCCAGCCTCTCCTAGAGCCTCTGTTATGTTAGCTGTAGATTACCGAGCTGCTCCTTGTTTACCTGACATGTTAGCTGTAGATTATTGAGCTGCTCCTTGATTCCCTGACATGTTGGCTGTACATTACCGAGCTGCTCTTAGAGTCTCTGATATGTTAGCTGTACATCACAGGAGCTGCCCTTTGGGTCCCTGACACTCTGGTTGCGGAGATGATCCTAGATTTAGAGATATGTCCACAATATCCACAGCTGCTCCTAGAGTGTAAGATATGTCCATAATATCCACAGCTGCTTCTAGAGCATAATATACGTCCTCAATATCCACAGCTGCTCCTAGGGTATAATACATGTCCACAATATACACATGCTGCTGCTAGAGTATAAGATATGTCCACAATATCCATAGCCGCTCATAGAGCATAATATACATTCTCGATATCCACAGCTTCTCCTAGGGTTTAATATATGTCCACAATATCCACAGATGCTCCTAGGGTATAAGATATGTCAACAATATCCACAGCTGCTCCTAGGGTATAAGATATGTCCACGATATCCACAGCTGCTCCAAGAGCATATGATATATCCGCAATATCCACAGCTGCTCCTAAAGTATGAGATGTCTACAATATCCACAGCTGCTCCTAAAGTTTGAAATATGTCCACGATATCCTAGTTCCCCCTTGGTATCCTAGAGCTCCTGGTCCCTCTCTGTATCTTGGACATTCTAGTTCCAGATATCCTTATTCCTGGATATTCTAGTTATCTCCTATATCTTATTAGTATTTTAGACGGGCTGGTACAGGAGCAATTGGTCCAGTCCCAGAACTAAATCTCTTGATGAGATTGAGTGGATCTCCTGTTCCTGATTGAAACATCTATCTGCTCCAGATATATGAAGAGCTGTCTACAAAGAGCAACCTCTCCAATCCCAGGATGGTATAGCATCTGGTCTCCTGGATTATCTCATTCATATCTAGATATCCCATCCTCATAGATCCTCGTTGTTATTATCATTGTTATATCATCATTGTTATCATTCTTGTTATCATCATTATTGTCAGCGTAGGAAGAAAAGTCTATGACATCGTGTACAGTTTACAGTTATTACTAGATACAAGTCAATATTTTACAACAGGCAGGTTATTCAAGGTGTCTTCAAATGGTTCATATTCTTGAGATATCCTGGCAAAGTGTTCAGCAACACAGTCTGCTGCATCTTCGTCAAGAATATCATTAAGACATTCTACATTGATAACATTGATAACATTCATACAACCCTGATAACAATATTTGTTTATCTGCAACCAGTTGAGTCCTGTCTCTTCATACAAACAAAATGTATTTTTGTAGATGTGAGTGTTTTCAGGGTAAAGCTTGGTAAAAATATTCATTATTTTGAATTCCCCAAAAAGTGTGGAAAAGTGGACAGGGTGTGTAGGGTTAAGTGATCGGCTAAGCTACTTAACTTACAAATTTGCCGCCAGCTAGATCTGGTAAGGATTTGTAAAGTTACAGCCTTATCCGATTTTGCACCGATTTGCAAAAAAATTGCATGGTTGCATTCGCAATAGTTTAAAGTATTGCCTAAATAAATTTCAATTTTTTATTTTATGTAATTTAGGCAGAAAAGGCCTTTTAGTATAGTACGGCGCTTAGCCTATCTCGGATATGAACCAAAAGATACGTAGAGATGTATATAAGTTAGCGATTATAAATAAGTAACTAAAGATTTGTTTGGCGCAGACTAAAACGATTTGTACAGTTCTTGTCTTATTGTATACATAAATGAAAAGTTTTTGTTCTGTCAAATTTCACAAGGTCGATAGTTTTTGTCTTGAAAATTGAAATTAATTCATCCCTCAGTTATTAATTCATGTCTAGAAGTACAGAAGTCAGAGATTATAGAGTTTTTTTTTCCTGAAATCTCTTTAGTTTTTAAAGAAGTAATTGGCAAAATCATTATCGATTTTTGCTTGGGAGCTTGAGACTTTTAAATCACAGTGCCTTTAGATTGAAGTGATTAAAGTTGTAATCTTTATATCATTCAAATTCCAAACACAAATCCTAGGGACATCAAGGTCCACCATTTGCCCCTCATCCAATTAGAATTGGGTTAATACAAAGGCTTTACTTTCGATCCCAATTTCACAAAATGTCCCTTTCTGGTTATTAATATACTTCCATGTTTATCTGAGTATGAATAAATAGGATTCTTTCATCAATGTATCTTTTATTGGTACAGTTATATTTGTTACATTTTAATTCTGTCTCACAACATTTTGTTCAGATATTCAGAATTCTGTGATGTAATTAATCAGCTCCCTCAATTCGATATCTCGTTCAGCTGCTCCGGTTCAGTATCTAATTAGGCAGCTCTCTCAACTCAAATCTCGTTCAGCTGCTCCAGTTCAGTATCTCCTATACTGTAATCCTGGATGGTACTGTAGCTGCTTCTAATGTCTCCAAATTACAGGTGCTCCTTGTCTCTGATATGTTAGCTGTATATTACTGAGCTGCTCCTTGATTCCCTGACATGTTAGCTGTACATTACCGAGCTGCTCTTTGAGTCTCTGATATGTTAGCTCTTCTCTATATCTTGGATATCTTATTCCCTATTTGTATCCTAGTTCATGGTATCCTATCCGGGATATTCTTGTTCCTCGATATCCTAGTTATCTCTTGTAAAAAAGTTGTTAAAAAAAATCTTAAAACCAGTTGTTAAAAGAGAACATTTTTTATGAAAAACTGTTTTCTAGTGGTTAAAGCAAAAAAATTTATGAAAAACTGTTTTCCAGTGGTTAAAGCAACCCAGCAGTTGAAAGCAAAAAGTTGTTAAAAAATCTTAAAACCAGTTGTTAAAAGAAAACATTTTTTATTAAAAACTGTTTTCCAGTGGTTAAAGCAACCCAGCGGTTGAAAGAAAAAAGGTTGTTAAAAAATCTTTGAACCAGTTTTTATAAGAAAATATTTTTTATGAAAAACTGTTTTCCAGCGGTTAAAGCAAACCAGCGGTTGCAAGCAAGAAAGTTTCTGAAAAATCTTCAACCCAGCGGTTAAAAGCAAAAAAGTTGTTAAAAAATCTTAAAACCAGTTGTTAAAAGAGAACATTTTTTATGAAAAACTGTTTTCTAGTGGTTAAAGCAACCCAGCGGTTGAAAGAAAAAAGGTTGTTAAAAAATAGGTTGTTAAAAAATCTTTAAACCAGTTTTTAAAAGAAAATATTTTTTATGAAAAACTGTTTTCCAGTGGTAAAGCAACCCAGCGGTTGCAAGCAAAAAAGTTGCTGAAAAATGTTCAACTGAGCGGTTGAAAGCAAATCAGTTGTTAAAAGAAATTTTTTTTATGAAAAACTGTTTTCTAGTGGTTAAAGCAACCCAGCGGTTGAAAGCAAAAAAATTGTTAAAAAATCTTAAAACCAGTTGTTATATAAGAAAAAATTTTTATGAAAAACTGTGTTCTAGTGGTTAAAGCCACCCAGCGGTTAAAAGCAACAAAGTTGCTGAAAAATCTTCAACCAAGCGGTTGAAAGCAAAAAAGTTGTTAAAAAAATCTTAAAACCAGTTGTTAAAAGAAAACATTTTTTATGAAAAACTGTTTTCTAGTGGTTAGAGCAACCCAGCAGTTGTTAGCAAAAAAGTTGCTGAAAAATCTTAAAACCAGTTGCTAAAAGAAAATATTCTTTATGAAAAACTGTTTTCCAGTGGTTAAAGCAACTCAGTTGTTGAAAGCAAAAAAGTTGCTGAAAAATCTTAAACCCAGTGGTTGAAAGCAAAAAAGTTGTTAAAAATCTTAAAACCAGTTGTTAAAAGAAAACATTTTTTATGATAAACTGTTTTCCAGTGGTTAAAGCAACCCAGTTGTTGAAAGCTAAAAAGTTGCTGAAAAATCTTAAACCCAGCGGTTGAAAGCAAAAAAGTTGTTAAAAATCTTAAACCCAGCGGTTGAAAGCAAAAAAGTTGCTGAAAAATCTTAAAACCAGCGGTTAAAAGAAAAAAGGTGCTGAAAATTCTTAGAACTGGTTTTTAAAAGAAGACGTTTTTCATTAAGAACTGTTTTCTAGCGTATAAAAGTATCCCAGAGGTTTAAAGCAAATAAGTTTCTAAAAAATCCTGAACCTAGCGGTTGAAAGCAAAAAAGTTGCCGAAAAATTTTAAAACCAGTGGTGAAAAGAGAACGTCTTTCATGAAAAATTATTTTCCATGGTGGTTAAAAACAAAAACATGCAAGTAGTTAAAAGGAAAAAAGTTGCTGAAAAATCTTTACTAAAAAAGTTTTAACCCTATTCAGAATTTATTGATTGAACAAATTTTAAATTTGAGAAAAAAGGCGCATTTCTTATTCTGAACTGCGTAGAGTCTAGGCTAGATCTCAACCGCTGGTTCAACCGCTCCCGCTGAGTTTTTTTCTCCAAAGTATATATCATTCGGATAATCCACTTATTTTTTTATAAAATCCGCAAAATTTTTGTTTGTTTGTGTTTTACAATGTATATAAAGAGAAAATGTTCACAATTGAAATAGAAGATGATCGCGAAGCGCCCTAAAAGGCTAAAAGCCTAAATTATATATGTAATTAAAGAACAAAAATCAGAGCAGTCTCAGTTTTTCATATTTATTCTATACTAGCTGAAGGGCCCGGCATTGCCCGTGGAAAAAAAATATTTGAAAATAAAATTTTGACATTTATTTTGAAAAACATAAAAAAAATAAATGAAAAAAAAAATTTTAAAAATAAGTTTGAATTTGTTTTAGCCTATAGCACCCCTTGGCCACCCCTAAGTGTCTACAAAAAATTTCAGCGTAATCGGTCCAGCTGTTTTGCCGGCTATATTCAACATATATATATAAGAATTTATGTCTTGTTTTATTATATAGATATATACAATTTTTGACGGAACCCATGTGTACCATGGTTAACAAAATCGAATCTTTTTTTAAACATCGATGTTTATTTTAAAATTAAATATTTTTAAAATTTATAAAGAAGTAACAACAGGTAAAAACCCCATTGTGTAAGGAGGTATCAACGTAGATTAATCAGACAAAGCTTTAGTAATCATTGTAAATTGGGCATTGCCATTTTTGCATAGAGACTTAATTGAAATTATGCCGCACAAGTGTAAGAAAGGCAAATTTATTCAGTTACATCTTATAAGTTAAAAATTTTTTTGTTCCTCTCAATATCTTTTAAATAAAAGGATTTATGATAAAAAGCATATATGATTTTAATGTTATGATGTGCAAAATATATATATATCAAGATAAAGATAATCAATTTATTATTCAATCAAAAAAACAGATAAACATCCTCATACACAATGTTTTATGGACCAATCTTCAGTGAGATCTGTTCTCTCTCTCTCTATAATATAATATATATTATATAATTATATCCGCTTCTGTTTAGATTGTTGGAAAAAATCTTGCCCCTCATCTAAAGAGTATGGCGGGTGTCTGGTATATTGGGCAATCAGATTCCCATATACCAGCGGCAGAAGCCGCCACCGCCGCCTGGACCGCCGCCTTCCCGCCGCACAAACTGGCCGGTGCCGTCGAGTTCTGCCAAGCAGAGATCCTCAATCTTATCATAGACAATCTTGTCAACGCCACGCCACAGACATTGTCCGACCCAAAGACGACCCCGCCGGAGGAGATGGAGGCCAAGTATACGAGGACGGTGTCCATGAGTTTGATAAGCTACGCAAACCTACTTGAGGCAATAGAAAAAACTGTCCCGGAGAAACATAAACCCTTGCTCGACAGCCAGAAATTCTGGAAGCTTGCTAAACATAAAGCGGGAAACATCAGGAAAGCCACTAATCTATTTATATACTTTGCTTGTCTGTCTATTTATTGGTTTGTTTGTATCCATTTAAATCTCAAAACGGCTAAACCAATCGGGCCAAAATTTTGTGTGGAACCTCACTTGACCCCGGGGAAGGTTTATGGATGATCAAAATAAAAAAATTGCCTTCAACAAAATTTGATTTTCATTAACTTTTAATAATCCCCGAAATTATTTTTATAAAATCGGTGAACTCTTTTTGTTTTTGTTTCATAATATAATCTGTACAAAGAGAACATGTTCACAATTGAAATAGAAGCCTAGTAAACAATATTATTCTGAATGCAGATCATAAGGATCTTAGATTCGTGATAAAATTTGCAAAAAATATCTAAAATATCAAACATTAGGTTGAGGGGTATTCTCCCCTTCTTCGGAGGTATTTTTTAGTAGAATCGATATTGCAGGACATAATTCATTTTTTTTTTTGGTGAATTGAGGAAAATTTCTTATTTTGTTGGTTAAAAATAATTAAAAAGGGGCTTGCCGGTTGATTTCTTTCTTTCTCTCTCTCCCCATTTATTAATAAATATTTTAGACGGAATATGATCCAATAAAAAACTGATGAATTTTGGAGACCGTGAATCATTTGTGGTCTTTTAACAGAAAATCTTTTTTTGTCGCTGTAACACAACTTTGCATAAAGATGCCAGAAGAAATCCAGTTAAGAGGAGTGCAGGTTAGAATCAGAACTAAAATAATTTCAAAGTTTTGTAGCATGGTACAATGCGAACCAGAAAAATGTGAAATAAATGTTGTCGTAATTCTCTTCAGTTAACAAATGTCGTTTTGAAATAATTTTGAAATTTTGAAATGTAGTCGGCTGGAGTTTGTAATAACTCTATAATAATAGAAATAAATGGTGCTAACTTTGCACCTATATTCTTATAATCAATGAGGGACCCCCCTCTTGGATTTAATTTGACAAAAAATAATAATTTTAGATTATTTTAAACCATAGGTCATCCTTTTCTTCAAAAGCTTAAAGATCCAAAATGAAACATTTTCATTGTAAGGGGCGCTTAGAAATCCAATGTCACTGAACAGTGAACAATCACCCCCTCTTGGCAAATAGATTATCAAGTACAACAGGTGGCAACAGAGAAATGGATCAATTATACACGACGTCACAAGTGTCAAATATAACAAGAAAACAATATTTTCTCCTAAATTAGTTGACATGTTTTCCAAGATTAAATAAAAAAGTAAAAACAGAAAATGAAGAACACATAAAATTGCACTTTTTTTCACTGTAAGATAAGCACATGTTTTTAATTATCACTATTATTAATAATTTTATCTGACACAAAAACTAAGTTGACACTTGTGACGTCAGAATACAGCTGTACTGAGAGCGTCAAAATTCTACGTTGCCATCTACTGAACTAGAATCTATTTGCCTCTTGGATTAAATCTGTCAAAATCTAAGAAAATTATAAGAGTTATTACAAACTCCAGGAGACTAGTGAGGTCCTTTTACATCTGATACATCTCTCAAAATATCAAGACATCTTTTGGAAATAGTTCAGTTGCAAATTTGTGACATTTCATTTAAAAATGTTTAAAAGTCAACAAGAACTCTACTGTTTTATGGTTTTGTTGAAGTTCAACGGGGATTTGATATGGTTTTGAGGAAAAATGTCCCAATTTCTCTAGACTTAAGGTTTTTTAAATTGTAAATTCTATTTTGACAATAATAATTTGCTCGGGGGTTTTCGTTGAAGTTCTACGGGAATTTTAGGTTTTGAGGAAAAAATATCACAATTTCACTAGAACTTTCGGTTTTTTCATTTTGTTTTCAAATTAAAATTTTTTTTTTAAATTCGATTTTTTTTACAGTCCAAGTGCAATGTAAAGTATGGATTTGATGTCATCTTTCCATCCTTCAATATATCTTGTTCCCAGGTTGTCCCGGCAGTTCTCTGTAATCTCCAGGATACCGAATCCGGAGACGCTGTATGGACGTGTACCCTCCAGCTCCTCTCCATTCTTCCAACCGCCTGGACACTCACATCGCCACACAAGGCGGTGTTCCCGGCGGTGTGGAAACTACTAGGGGCGGGTGGGGCCGGGTATGCTCGGCGGGTGTACCCCTACCTCATGCCGTTCATCAGCAGAATACCGGTGTCCGTGATGGAGGACCCGGAGAAGTTTACAACACGATGGTTTACAACAATGCTGGAAGGATTGGACGCCGTCAAGAAAAAGAAGAATTCGTCCGAGAGTGAAATAATCGTTCAATCCTTCCTAGAATGTATGTTTTATTATCTTAACCTGAAAGAGTTGAATTCACATATCAAGACTAAACTTGTCCGAGAATATCTGGTTCCTGGGGTTAGAGAGAACCCGTCTTGTCCTGGTATGTTTTCAATCCTCTCCGATTACCTCCTCTACTGGGATAAGATCTCCGGTAGTAACTCTGAGACTGATCAACTCAATCTACTCTTCTGGGCTGAACTAAAATACGAATCTTCAAAACCTGAAAACCAGTCAATCGACTTTTTAGTTTGTCTCGGTAAAGCCATGGAAAAGAAAGAAAAAGGAGAAAGTAAGGGTGAAAAAGGAATTGTGAAACCCGTTGGAGAACTGATTAAAATTTTAGAAACCAGATGGACTTCAGAGGTTGAAAACCTTTCTACTCCCGGAAAGGCTGAAACTAGTTTAGATACTCTTTACAAAATTCTCAGCAACTTCGGCCAATACGCGGAAATTTTCGGCCATGGGATGGATGAAAATAACATGGTCGATTTTTATCACACAAAAATAATTCCACTACTATCCAATTTGAACCTAGAGGAATCTCTAGCAAGGTTTACTTGGACCCTAGCAAACAGACTCTCCGAGGTTGAAGCACTGAACGCCCTCGATATGTTCGTGAAGAAAACCCGGCCTCACCTCATCTCTCAGTTAGTTAACGAAGCTAAGAGGTCGAGTAGCACACTGTTCAGCTCCTGGTTGTGCAGTGTATCCGTGCAGGAGATGGTGGTCGAGGTCGCCAACAACCTGATCCATCATCTGGTGGAAGGACACACACAGGAAAATGAGAATTGGAACACTATCAAATCTATTCTAGACTCGGGAGTGCCTACTCCGGAGCAGACACAACAGAAACTGTTTTCAACCTTCCTGGACGGATTGAATAGTATCCGGAACAAGGAGAACCGTCCTTCATCCTCTAGAGTAGTTGAGTTCATCTGTGATCTGCTCGGTCTGCTAACTATCTCCCATCAAGATGTTGTGGCTGAGAGCTCAGGGACGGAGCTGATTAAACTCATCTTCTCCATGCATAGTTCTGGATTCGGAGAAGGAACCCGGAGAAAGCTGGAACATTGTTGGATCTCGGCAGTTCAAAATCAACCCAAACTGGCAAATGCACTTTCTCTAAAAATATCCGAACAACTTATTAAACCTGTCTGTATGGATGAGCTTGACAGACTGAAGAGAAAAGCTAGCTCCTTGGCTAGAGTGGTGAGTAAGAAAAATATTGAATTATTGGTGGAAAACCTAGAGATTATGATCCCTGACGTGGACTGGAACCTAGCGGAGCAGGCCTGGTATAGAACAGTATTTGATCAGAAGCAGTTCAAAGATTCAATATCGGAGAAGTTCGGGTACAGTTTAATTCAGCAAGCAGAGATAGAACCTATTAATCTCATTCTTCCAAACAGGACCCTTATATTCCTCTCCGTTCTCTCCCAGGGGTTAGGTATAGATTTCAGCTCTGTGATAGAGCCTGCTACGGTCCTGGATGAGGAAAGATTTAACCTTCCAGAGAGCTTTCTTAAGAATGACAAGTTAATGAATCGTCTTTGTGAAGCTCCGTTTGTTGTTGTTTACATGCAGAACCTGGTTCGGGATAAGAACTGTAGTGCTGATATAACCAACCTGGAGTCAGAACTCAACCTTGCCGCATCCAGTCTCTTCTCCAAGCTGAGCAAAGTGAACCTTGAACGTATTGAGCAGACTGTGTTCAGTCGGTGTGATGAGGAATATTGGGGACTGGCATTACAGTGGATACTTGGGCTAACATACAAGTATTCAGAGTGGGATATCAGGCTCTCCAGGTTTACTGGGTTGGACGGGACGGATATTGAGAGTAACTACAATACTCTGGTCTCTCTCATGGAGTTAACTTCTCAGTATAATATAGGTTCAGGAACAATATCATCCTCTCTCAGTCTTGCTGTTGGAAAACTTGCGAGCCTTGAAGGTAGAGATTACGATTCTTTGATATTCANAGGGAAGGGGATAATACATTCTCTTAGATAAGAGTCTAATTAATTAAATTAAAATTTTAGGATTAATCACCAAAGAATCCACGCATATCCTATGGTTTGTAACACAGTGCTTAAACCTGGCTAGGACGGGTTTAAGATTACATATCTCCGGAGTCTCTGAGTTCAGCGGAGAAATTCAAGCAGTCCTGGAGATGGTTGTCAATTGGAAAACAGAGACAGAAGATCAGCTCCTTTACAATACAGATTTGAGGTTTAAGCAAATCACATTGTTAAAATATTTATTATTAAAAAAGCTGGAAATCCAATAAATAAGAATTTTCCTGAAAGTGAAGAAATTTTTTAAATTCTGGTACGTTGATATCAAAAAAGGTTTTCGTTTAACGGTTGATGATTCGATCTCTAGAACCGTCCTAAGATCTAAGATTAAGATCTAGGTTGCAAGGCCTGTACTGAACGAGGGGAGGAAGGTCAACCACAACAATTTCTCGTCCGAGCCACATTCTTCTCCTTTTCTCATCCGAGCCACCTCGAAATCCTCGCCCTTATAAATTATATTTAAGTGTCTAATCCTCCCAGATAAAACAATTTTTAAAGAATCGGGCCACATTAGGGCATAAATGAAATACTGAATTTTTCTGCTTTGTTTAACTTTTTCATGCGCATTTTCAGATATTTCTGGTTTAGAATTTCGCAAAGAATTCCGAGTTTATAGAACTTTAATCTTTTTTGTTAATTATAGTGAAAAATAGCATTTTTCCGGGTTGTTCCATGGGAAAATTTATAGGCAGAGGTATGCCAAATATTTTGCTATTTATTTTATATCCATATTTTATGCCCTAACGTGGCCAGATTTTCAAAAAAATAGTTTCATCTTTGAGAATTGTAAACTTTAAAACACAAAAATCGAAGGAGAAGGATTCCAAGGTAGCTCGGACGAGAAAATGAGGAAAATGTGGCTCGGACGAGAAGTTGTTGTTGCAGGCCTTCCCATCCTCACTGAACTGTACTGTACTGTACTATTATTATTTAGAATAAAGACTCTAAAAACAGCTGGAAACTGGGTCATTGCAAACTATAAAACCTAATTTAGGGATTGGAGTTGTTGGTTGGACAATGGACATCCCTAAAGACAGTGCTTAGGATCCGGATCCGTTTGATCCGCAACTTTTGGTTTCCTGGATCCGGATCTCTGATATTTTTGCGGATCCGGATCTTTGATATTTTTGCGGATCCGGATCCACGGGGTAAATTATCAACCAAAGACTGCAAAAAAGAAAACCTGTTAATCTCAAACCCCAAATCTGAACTGTTGATAAAACAAGAGAAAACTAAATTTAAAATTCTTCTTATGTTTAAAAAATATGTAAATCTTCAAAGAAATGTTCATGACCTCGATCCGGATCTGTTATTTTCCAGGGCGCATCCAGGATCTGGATCCATCCGAATCAAAATGAAATGGATCCTACGCACTGTCTAAAAGTCTGATTTGATTTGTTTCGTTTAGTGAGTACAGCTGGTCTGAGATCAACAAGGTGTGTACAGTATGTAACCTGCTCCACCTCGTAGTCTCCAAGTACCCGGATCTAATTCAACCCCAGGTCTGGGACCTGATAACCTGCAGTCTTGTATCCTGGGTTGGAACACTACAGGAGAGCAAGGACAGTCTTACTTCCAGGTATTATAGAAGACTTAACAGTGAAACTCATTAAGTTTTGTCATAAGAAGCGTCAGCTATGCAAATTCATGTTTGTTAAATGTTGTTTGCAAATAGTTTTCCAAATAGCTTGAAAATCAACTGATTAAGTGGAATGAGGCAATGTACATTGTAAACTATTGTAAACATAAATTATATTTAGAGCTGGTTCTATGATGTTCTCAGTATCCTGCTCCAGGCTGGCAGCAAGTGTAGCAGCTATTTTAGGTCCTAAAGGTGAGAAACCTATAACATTTATAATTAATTTTCATTCTAAAGTTTTCCATTTTACCAAAAAAATTTTGTTGTCATTTTCAGAAATAATAAAGGATTCTTGGGGTGTGTAGGTTTGTGTGTTATAAGGGATTTAACTTCAAATAAGATAAAGTTTCTAGTTAAAAATGTGTTAAGTTTGGGTAGCAGACCTTAAATTTTTTTTTTAAAAATACCGATTCATTTTTTATTTAAACCTTTATTTAGGTCATCACCCATCTTTATCCCTGCCCAGACCTTGCTCTGTCCAGGTTCCGTTGGATAAACTCCGGGAGGAGTGGGACGAATTCTTTTCTCAGGGTATATTCATGATTCTAGTTCCTCTCTATATTCAGGTCAGTGTTCACTCAATAAGGAAATCTGTATTTAAAAAAACAAACATAAAAACTAAGAAACCTAGCTATCTAGAATTTTCCGTAAATTTTTCTCTTAAAATTTTTTTACCAGGCTAAGAACATTATATTGGTTCTACATAGTTCCCCAATCATAACTTGAGGGAAGTCAGTCTGGGGTTTATTAGTTATGATTGGACATCCAAGCAAACAAAAAAACAGAGATTACTACTTTCTATATATATATATATTATATATATAGATCAATAAAATTTTTTTTCTTGAACAAGAAATTTGTCTGGTACATTTCTTTCTTGGTCTTAATTTTATTTTTTAGGACGGAACCGATTCATGCAGTTGAATTATATTTGTATTTATGACCGGAATTAAATTTAAACTGTGCAAGGTTTGTGCTGGTAAGGAACATCTGTACAGCTGTAATCTACTGAGTACAGCCCTAGGCCAGGCTCTTGTACACGCCCCTCTTCCTCTTGTACTTCAGTGCGAACTCCCTCCTCTTTATCTTGTACAGGTACAGTGTACACTAAATACAGAGGGTACAGTGTACAGTAATTACAATTGGTACATTTTCTACACTTAATATAGTTTCCTTAGTTTCTTTAGTTTCTTTAGTTTCTTTAGTTTCTTTAGTTTCTTTAGTTTCTTTAGTTTCTTTAGTTTCTTTAGTTTCTTTAGTTTCTTTAGTAGTTTCTTTAGTTTCTTTAGTTTCTTTAGTTTCTTTAGTTTCTTTAGTTTCTTTAGTTTCTTTAGTTTCTTTAGTTTCTTTAGTTTCTTTAGTTTTTTTTAGTTACTATATTACTATTCTATATTTTGCAATAAGCATAGATAATTTCTTTAAAAGATATTAATCATGATAAAATAAGAAGAAAGATGGTTTTATTTTATTTATCATGTACCGTTTACCCCTTGTAATAAAGAGACATTTTTCTATTTATCATGTACCCCTTAATAAATAGAATTTTAATTTTAGGATGTTGATGCCCCCTCTCTGCCTGATAATATTACATTTATTTTCAACCATTTTGGTCCTCTACTCCTTTCCAACTGTCGGAGCAGTCAAGTGACAGCTGCTCACATACTGGCAGCTGTCACACAGGAAATACCAAAGGTAATTAGCTGTTACAGGAACCAAAGGTTATCAGCTGTCACACAGGAAATATCAAAGTTAATCATCTGTCAGACAATAAATACCAAAAACCTTTCACACAAGAAATACCAAAGGTACGTAGCTATCATACAGGAAATATCAAGGGTAATCATCTGTCAGACAATTAGATACCAAAGGTAATCACAGGAAATATCAAAGATAATAAACTGTCTGAGAAATTTGTGAACTCACGCTGACATTTAAGTTATCCTCCATTTCAATCCTAATAAACGTTAATTAATAATTATATTCATGATTATCCACAAATTCTCATTGTCCGGAAATTTTTCGTCAAAAGTTTGACTATCCGGAATTTATTCTGGAAGGGACAAGAGAAGATTGAAAATAAATAAATGAATGTCTGTTTGTTTGAATATCATATAAATTAGAATCCTGAAGTAAACTTGATGCTTGAGAGTCCAATGTTCTCAGATATCAGTTTAGTTTATCAATCCATTCTATTCAGGAAGTGTGTAATTCTATGAAAAAGATTATATTACCCATAGTGCAAAAGATGGGGATACATTGGATTCGCAACAATTTACCTTTCTGATCCCGGATTCCCAAAATATGCAAAACATCGGAATTTTCCAAAAAGGACGGCTAGTGATATTTTATTAAGACCCTCTTACGTCTTGATACAGGCCACATGTCATGTTCCCATTTCAGATATTCTTATTATTTTTTATTATAATTTTATAATAAATTAAGTTTCAACATCAAAATATGTGAAAATAGGAAAAAATTTCTTAAGAAAAAAGTTGGTAGAACTTAAAAAAAAATTGGGGAATTGGAGCTCTTTTTTGCAGGCAAGACTGATCCGGATACGCAAGGGGAGAGAGACAAATTTGTTGGCGTTTCTCGTTCATGTCTTGAACAGCTTTTTTCTGATACATTGGCTATAATTGATTGCTCTAGAATGTTGATGTATCTGGGGATAGTGAGGAGAACGAGGTTCCTTTACGACTAGTTGAAGCACTGCAGCTGGGAGAACTTCTCCTTTCAACCCTCCTGGTGGAGTTCTCTATCTCTGACCCTGTCGGAGAAATACCGACCGGAACCATTGCTTTCTCACAGGTAAAATAGACGGCGTTTTGCATCTTTGAAACAATCTCTGTTTGATCTGCGACCTTTTGGCTTCCTGGATCCGGATCTAAGGAGCATAATCGAAACCAAAGCCTGCTTAAACTATTTTTTGCTGCTCTCAAAACACAAATCGCAGTTTTTAACTAAGCAATTAACTTCACAATCTCCTAATGGTTCAGTAAAAGAGAAATGTTCATGACGCCGATCCGGTTTTGGATCCGGATCCATATTTTTACAAGGCCGGTCCAGGAGCCTTAGTACTGGTTCTCACATATTTAACCATAAAATTCAATAATATAAAATCTAAACTTTTCTTTTTTAGACATTTGGATATTTGCTAGCTTGGCGAGTTATACTGCGTTTACTTGAGAAATCCAGCGATGAAGTTCGACCTCGGTATTCACAGTATCTTGAGAGCCGAGGACACATCTCTCATCTACTCTCTAACATCTTCAAACTGCTACCTCGTGGTACTGGTCAGCTAGAGCTGGTGTTTGCTGCTCCTTTGCTAGAGGTCGGAGCAGATACTTGTAGTACAGAGCTGCAACAGCTAGCTGCTTTATGCTGGACACAGGTAGATATCAATCAAAACTATAACCTGAGTGAAAACTGACCACTGACCATTACCAATGAACGTAGGAAAACTGAAAAGTAAACACCATGAACATTAAACATTAAACATTGAACATTGAACATTGAACATTGAACATTGAACCATTGAACCATTGAACCATTGAACCATTGAACCATTGAACCATTGAACCATTGAACCATTGAACCATTGAACCATTGAACCATTGAACCTTTGACCCATCGAACACTAAAGTTGAACTTTTTTAAGGTTTGTGGTCATTTGCCCGCATCTGCTCGTCAATGGTGGAGTAAACTGGACAGAGAAAGCCAGGTATTTAATCTTAAACAATGCAGGCAGTCTCGGAAAAGTAGACTTTAATTCAACTCGAAAATTGGGCGTTTTGTTCTCCCACGTACAGTGATAACTAGATAACAATGGAATAGGAAGACCACATTATGGCAATAAATAAGTGTATTTGATATTGTTACAAAGCAAATAGTTTTACTAGACGCTTTTTGAATTACTGCTTTAGTGAAATAGGTCTGTTAAAACTGCACCATTGCTGTGGTTCATGCTCATTGGATTTATTATAGTTAAAAAGTCGTTTTCCTATTCCAGAGTTTTTTGGTTCTCACTGTATGCAATCCGGTCGAAAGGAATAGTATTATACGACCTAAATATCAAGGAGGTCGGATAATTAGTTTGTTTCCTGTGGATCAGTTGAAAAATGTCCTTGCACTCCTACTGTTGCGCGATCATTGGAAATATGCAGATTTTAAACCATAAAATTTGCACTTTAAGTCCTCAATTCCTTTTGATAATAATTGACATTCAAGTAAAATCTGGGGCGGAAACAGGAATTTTTTAGGGGTGAGCCAACTCAGAATTCACCCCAATTTTCCAGGGGCGAGCCATTGCTCTAAGGCTCATCACTGAATCCGGCCTTGAGTAAAATGATGTTAGAATTTAAAGTAAGGAAATTTAATTTTTGAGAATTAGATTAAAGATTTAAAATAAATTTTGTTACTTGTAAATGTCGCAATGCTCTCAATGTTTTGGTACTAACATTTTAAAGTAACAGAGAGGTGTTTTGTTTTCTTTCTAGTGATTATATTAAATTTTTTAAAAGTTTATGGAAGCCAGGTTGTCTAATGCTCAAGGGTGCTTGGGCTTTCCAAGAAAGACGGGTTTTCAGATTCTTCATTTTTCATTTTGACCTACTCGCAGACAAGAGATTTATATTATATATGAATTGGTTACAGGGGACTGTAGAGAGGATCACGTGTAGCTACGTGACCCCGGCCCTCTGGACCCAGGAGGTCAACATCATCGCTGCAGCGGAGAAGTGTGAGAACCTGACCTTGAAGGTGCGGGACTCTGTGCGGGAGGTTGTAGCGACCTACTCTATAGACGAGGGGAGTATGGAGTTAGTGGTGTCCCTGCCCAGTAATTATCCTCTAGGAGGACTCAATGTAGATTCTGGGAAGAGAGTTGGTGTAGAATCTGGTAAGAAATGTTCTTAAATATATATTTTCCTCAATAATTCCTCGTGAAAATTAATTCCCACTCTTGTCCCCATATTTTTGAGAAAATATTCTGTGCTTATGACAAGATTTGAACAAAGTGAATTGTAAATAATAATTTGGAAGGAAGTTCAAGGGTATATTTTCTTAAAAAATGGTTTTTAGAGGATTTTTCTTCAAATTTGGGAGAGAAGAATGTTCAGGGAAATTTTAGGTCAAAAGTCTTTAAAAGAATGAAAAAACTTTGATGTCCAATTTTCTCTATATTTCCTAAGAGCATAAACCCCCCCCCCCCTCCCTCCCCCGTTTCTGAGTTTCATATTCATTTGATTATTCAAAATCATAACTTAAATCTAGCAGTCGTCTTCTTATTTGACAGCTCCCTCTGTATATTAACTGTCTGTGGTTTACAGGTCAGTGGAGGAAATGGATGTTGCAGCTGACCACCTTCCTAATCCATCAGAACGGAAGTATACACGAGGGGTTAAACCTTTGGAAGAAGAATGTGGACAAACGTTTTGAAGGAGTAGAGGTTAGATTTTAACATATCAGAGGTTGGAACTTTTGAACAAGATTGTGCTAGTTATTTCGTAATCACCCATTTAAAGATATCGATGCGAAGGAATTAACTTAATCCTTTGGATTACAGAAGAGACGGATTAATGATTTTTAAAGGATTAACGACAAAAAGTTTCCGACCTCAGATTACATAAGTTCACCTCAAGTTTTGATGGGGGAACATATGTAGGGATACAAATTTCATAAAAACAACCGTTAACGGCGGAATTTCTTCCGTTAACGCCGTTACTAAAATTGTGATCGTTAACTAACGGTAACTTTAAAAAACGGAAAATACCATAAACGAAACGAACGTTCCGTTCTTTCCTTTAAAACGGCTAGCTGAATTTTTGTAATTAACGGTTGGAATTAATCGTTAACGAAACGGCTAGAAAAATTTTGAACATGTCTAGCCCAGGAACAAGCTAAACGCCACATGTTCTTGCAGAAGTTTATAAGATAAAAGTTCCAAGGGAACCCCTTGGCATTTTTACACTATCTTATTATTATATTTAGGAGTGTTATATTTGCTTCTATATCCTGCATGGATCCAATCACCAGCTTCCTAAACTGGGCTGCAGAACTTGTAAAAAGAAGTTTCATTCTGCCTGTCTGTATAAATGGTTTTCTACATCCAACAACTCATCTTGCCCACTGTGCAGAAATTTATTTTAAGTCCTGGAACTAATGAGGTTCAACATCAAACAACTTGTTTTTCGCACTGTGTAGACGTGATTGGAATTTGCGTAACAATGGTTTTATATCAAACATCTTGCTGAAGAAATTTATTAGGAGTCAAGAGTCTGGATAATAATGATTTTCAATACAAAATAACTTGGTTTGCTCATTGTGCAGAAATATTCTAAAAAAAAGAAATAAGACAATTTTAAAAAAACTGTACATGAAATATACCCCCAGTATTTCCTCCTGTGTGTACAAGATACAGGGTTGTACACCCCCCCCCCCCTAACCCTACTGGTCTAAGTGTTCAAAAGCATTTATGTGATCTTTTAAAACAAATAAATGCACTGTTTTGGTTAAGCACCTAAAAAAATCATTAAAATTAAATGTTTCATAAAATGTTAATTCATGTTATCTCTTTGTTATGTTGTGATATAGACTATAATATTGTGATAAAATCAACCGGAAGTACATTTTCATAGATCAAAATAATTTTAAATGTTAAAATTAGAACAAAATAACAAAATTTTATTTTAAGAAAAAAAGGCCTAAATAAATAAGTGAATGAATTAGTTTACGTAAATAATTGTTATCCACAAGGAATATTTGATTTTTTTTAGAAGCGCACCGTTATACATTGATGTAAACCGCACATAGTTTAAAAGGATGGTCTGATTGTTTATTTTCAGATTTGAAATGTTTTTTTGGTTTAATGTTGTCTAGTGATCAGCCTATAGTATGGAGGAACGTGACGGAAAAACTGTCACATTTTCTGGTCACAAAACTCAAATATCATCAGTTGTCAGGTGATTCAACTTGATTTATTGATTGATTGATTGATCGGGAAGCTTACTTCACTGATTGATTGATTTGGATAGTTTTCATTGATCTTCAGGATAGTAAAATAAAAAGCTATTCTGAGTTGAAGCATTTTCCGAAATTGTGTACAAATAAAATCTTTAAATTTTTCTCAGGTTGACTGTTGAATATATTAATCAAATATTATTTAAGAAATTATAATTTTTAATATGTACACTAATAACATATTTAGTTTTTGGTCGAAAATAATATTTTTTTAAAACTAAAATAGTGATATTTATTTTATTTTTCAAGGTACTGTCGTGAAGGTGGGCTCTTCACAGACGCAGAGCTTATATGTGAAGATGGAAGGATTCTAGTACATAGGTAGGATCCTAGTACATAGGTAGGATTCTAGTACATAGGTAGGATTCTAGTACATAGGTAGGATTCTAGTACATAGGTAGGATTCTAGTACATAGGTAGGATTCTAGTACATAGGTAGGATTTAAAGGGATTGTTCATATATTTGGGTCATGTGTGATGTACCAATCATCAATGAGAAGATCGTAATTTGCCCTAACTCAGGTTATCCTGGATCCTGGATCATGGATCCGCACTGAAAAAAAAGATTTACTGATTTTTTTAACAATTGGCCGCCAATTGTCTCTGTTCTCGATGTGTCTGTGGTTCCACGTGGGAAAGACACCTAGCGGACAAAAATTACTCGTTTTAAGTGCATTGTAAAAGACAAATAAAATATATTATGAAATATTAACTTTATACGAATGCGTCGAAAAAGTTCGATGATTATAAGTTGTAATATCTGAACGATTGGGTTAGAATTCAATTGATTTTGTTTCGATCCGTGTCGAATATTGAAACTTTCTGAATTCGTATGGACGCTACGTTTTTAGGAATGAGTGGTTTTTAACAATTTTCTCCTTAAAGATGCATCAGATAGAAGTAAGATAAGTAGCACTCACCATCGAATATTTTTCGACGTATGCCTGTACCCCCTTTAATTTTTCGCGAACACTCCCTTTAAAACAATACATTCTTTGTTAGGATTGTTCTTGGAGCAGTGTCCAAGTTCTTAGCACAAGTCCTAGTAGAGACAGGAGGAGGAGGAGATCAAGCTGTTCTTCTCCTTCCTGGAGTTCGTACTTCGGTTGCCGAACAGCTTGTAGAATTTATATATACAGGATACATGAAGGTACTTTTTATTAGTTCTCTACAGTGCTTAGGATCCATTTAATTTTTATGCGGATCCGGATCTGGATCCTGGATCCGCAGTGTAAAAAAATTATCCGGATCCAGGTCATTTCTTTAAGATTTACTGAATTTTTTGAACAATAAATAATTTTCAATTTTGTTTTCGCTTATTTTTATTTTAAAACTTGATTTACCATTCAGAAATGAGGAAATTTTTATAATCTCTTTTTTTCAAAAGTTCATAGTTGGGTTTTAGGAGTAAAAAAGTTGTTCTTGCAGTTTTTGGTTGATGTTTTACCCCTTGGATCCGGATGCGTGGATCCGCATATTTCTGCGGATCCGGATTCAGGAAGCCAAAATCTTGCGGATCCAACGGATCCGAATCCTAAGCACTGGTTTTCTAGTTAAATGATTTACTAAAACCGAAACAGACACGGCCAGGAGCTCAACCACAGAGCTTAGCGTAACATACCTCAAAAACCTACAGGATATGATACTTTGACTCTGTAGGTTGAATAATAATAATAGAAGGATCATTTAAGATAATTTGCATAATTTTTCTATTAATGCTTAAAAGTCAATGACTGTAATCATTCAAAAAAATCTTCATTATTGAATATAATATTTTGCACCATTCTTTGGAGAAATATTGAAATTTTCGGCATAATAAGGATTAGTTTAATTTTTACTTTTGCTCACAAAATTTGTTTTCATAATGGTAAATTCGCAATTTAGTTTAGCTTAAAAAATGTATAACTGTGTGCAATGTGCATATATTACTTTTAAATACATGCATAATCAGAAAGACCCAGAATTACCNGACACGCCGGCGACTCAGTGATCGGTGATAGTTAATCAGGCAACTTTACATAAATGAAAAAGTTTGGACCACATTTTGGAAATGGCAGGACTAGGGATATTGTGTGATTATATTTTTATAAATCATATTTGTAAAATTAGATTGTAAAGTCGTCTGATTAATTGTTAATTAATTCCTTGTCTTTCTGATAATGAATGTACAGCGTACAATTGTACATGTATATTTTTTCGTTGTTGATAATAATAATATAAACCCTGTTAAGCTGTCCCAGTTTAACTCCTGGGACCTACAGCAGTTGGTGCTGTTGCTGCAGATCGATCCTCAGAATGTTGTTGTGGAAGTTTTAGAAGAGAATGTTAAGAAACACAAATCTAGTGTAAGTATATAATTGTTTACTGGCAATTGATGAGAACGGTCACGTTTTTCACATTTAATTTCTCTTACTATATTGAAGTCTAGAGTACATGTATTTTTCATAAAAATTCAGAATTTTTAGTGTAAAGGAAGTAAAAAAGTAACACTGCAATGCACTAAAGAAATTATGAATATATTTTGTGGCATAAAACCACTAAAAATGTTGGTTTAGCAAGCTAAAAAAAGGGGGCAAATTATATGTTTTTTATCCCATCATGTGTCTGTATTTTATCCCATCATGTGTTGGGTAAAATTATAAATAATAAGAGAACTATTTTGGGTCAAATTTATTCTCTCTTTTTATATTACTTCTTTATTTAAGTTAGAAGAGGAGGATGAGATTAAAATCAAACCAAAGACCGAAACACAAAAGAACGGATCTCACAAAGCTGTAGAATGTTTGAAGGAACGAAGTAGAAGTAGAAGTTCTAGAAAATTATCACAGGATAGCCTTGGGTCAGACTCAGAGTACATTGACTCACCACCAAGTAAGCTAAAAAAGTTTTCTTTTTAAAATGTCAACACCTTCAAAATTAAAAAAGTGTGAACCGGTTTCCACCGTTCACCTTAGCTATTAATGATATAGGGCTTGAAAAACAAAACACAAAACATGAGGTTTTGACAGAAACTGAAAGTAGACTTTGCCAAAGCTAGCATTTTAATTTTAAGAAATTCCTGTAGTGCTCTTTTTGAGAAACTTCCAGTTAAATTTTGCTATTTAATTTAGAACTAAAAAATGCGTTTGACTGAGAGAGTTTTTAAAGAAATTCTGCGCCCTTGAATATTTAAATAATAATATTACAAATGTAGTCTTTGCACTGTGTCTGATTAGTTCTGATGATTTAAATTGTTCCTAGGTTCGCCTTCTCCAGATCTAACCTCGCCCCGGCCCACCACCTCACCCCGGAGTGGGGTTATCCCGTCCTCCCGAATTTTGTCTGGACCTTCTCCCCGCCGTGTATCTGGGTCCTCTAGATCAGCGGGACGGAGCAGAGCATTGTCTGGTCGAGGATCAGGAGATCCTACGGTCAGCTCGTCAGGTAGGATACGGAGAGGATCAGGAGATCCTTCGGTTAGCTCGTCAGGTAGGATCTATGGGGATCAGGAGATCCTACGGTCAGCTCGTCAGGAAGGATCTGGTAAGGATTAGGAGATTTTACGTTTAGCTTGTCAGGTAGGATCTGGAGAGGATCAGGAGATCCTACAGTCATCCCTTCAGGTAGGATCAGGAGAGAATCAGGAGATCCTACAGCCAGCTCGTCAGGTAAGATCTGGAAAGGACCAGGAGATCCAACGGTTAGCTCGTCAGGTAGGGTCACGAGAGGATCAGGAGATCCTACGATCAGCTCGTCAGGTAAGATCTGGAGAGGTCAGGAGTTCCTACGGTAGGATCAGTAGAGTATCAGGAGATCCTACGGTAGGATTAGTAGATGATCAGGAGATCCTACGGTCAGCTTGTCAGGTAGGCTCTGGAGAGGATCAGGCTCGATCCTACGGTCAACTCATCAGGTAGGATCAGGAGATCCTACGGTCAGCTCGTCAGATAGGATCAGGAGAGGATCTTAAAAATGAATTAGATATGTCTGTAACCGGTTGTTAAGTAAACACAAATATAAAATGTCAAATTGTTTTTAATTCTCAATTAAGTGTAAATATATTTTTTAATATTTATTAGAAATTGTTTTAGGAGAGTTTATGGCAATCCTCAAACCAACTGAAATCTCAAATGTGATAAAAATCGTCACGTCAAGAAAGCGTCGAAACTCTCTTGAATTCTCTAACATTACCACAAAGGAACCCCGTGTGGAGGGAGGGCGTGGCCGGGGTAAAGGCGGAGCACTACGAACCCGTGGTAGAGCACGGAGCAGAGGTTCTAGTACACCCCGGAGTAAGGATAAGGGTTGGCATGACCTGCAGAACGTGGATACCTGGGTGTGTGCTATCTGTGGACAGTATGATCCTGTTCTACCCGGAGGATCTGAGCTAGGCTCTACTACGGAGTGGATAGGTTGTGACTGTAACAGGTATTTTAAATGGAGTATTAACAAAATGTTGAGTCCCCCCCCCCTCAGTAGTTATATATACTTACGCGGACTGAAAACATTTTTTATATCTTTATTCGTTGAATTTGGGAAAATTATTGATTTTCAGGGGAAAATGAATAATTTTTTTGAGTAAAAAGTATCAAAAAGAATGAACAAAATTTCCTTTTGATGTTCAATTTTCGTATTCCTCCTATATCATCAAAAAGCAGTTCAGAAAAATTGCACGCCTGTTAGTGACTCTTTTAGATTCAGAATAGTAGCCTTAGGTTATCCAATATCCACTCATATAAGCAATCAGTGGCGTACATAGGGGGGGGGGCAGTAGTCCTCTTGCCCCCCCCTGGGAGTTCCAGGGGGGGGCAGGGCCCCCCCCTGGAAAATACAAAATTAAAAGGAAACAAATTTAAAAAGTAACACCTGACAATGACAAAGACTTAGGATTTGTCTAAATTCACTGTTAACACAAACTGTTAAGATACTTTAAACTAAAACTTTTTCAAAAACAAAACATCGACATATTAGATGCTTATAACATGATGGAAGATGTAATAAAGGTATTCTATTTTCTATTTTTCTATTTTTTCTTACAGTCAATTTATAAAGGAATTGAGTCTTTGGCACAAACTCAAATATGTAAACCTTTGGAATCTGATGTTGTAAACCTTTGATATTTTAAATTCAGATATTTGATCTAACAGAATTCATAGTTTGAAATATCTAAGGTCTACAACCATAGATAAAGATAGATTGCTCATAAGACGACATTTTTCATCTNATTCTATCTACAAATTTCAGAAAAGATTTCGTTTATCAGTGAAAATATGATTTTTAATGATGCTGTGATTATTGATTTAGTTAGCTGTGATGGAGTTAAGTGATAAATTTATAAATTTATAAAGTTAAAAAGTTAAAGTTAGTTTTTCGAGCAAAGGAATAAATTTTAGACTCTATAAGGTTAGTAACACCCAAAAATGTAGTCTTTTTGGTGTATTTTTATGGTGTTAATTGACTTTTTGAACAAAACAATTCCAGGGGGGGGCAAAAAACAGCCAGGGGGGGGCAAAAAAAAATTTTTCGCGCTTCGCGCGAAATCTTGCCCCCCCCTGGCTAAAATCCTGTGTACGCGCCTGTAAGCAATTGTAGTTTTAAAACGACGTGAGGTAGGGTCAATGGCATGGCACGCTCCAGTATTAATTATATCTGTTTCATTGGTACTTTCTTACTTTCTGGTAGTAATCGTATCCGTTTTGATAGTAATTGAAGCCGTTCTAGTGATACTTTATCCGTTCTAGAAATACTATATCCGTTCTAGAAATACTATATCCGTTCTAGAAATACTTTATCCGTTCTAGAAATACTTTATCTGTTCTAGAAATAGTTTATCCGTTCTAGAAATACTTTATCCGTTCTAGAAATACTTTATCCGTTCTAGAAATACTTTATCCGTTCTAGAAATACTTTATCTGTTCTAGAAATAGTTTATCCGTTCTATAAATACTATATCCGTCCTAGAAATACTTTATCCGTTCTAGAAATACTTTATCCGTTCTAGAAATACTTTAGCTGTTCTAGAAATAGTTTATCCATTCTAGAAATACTTTATCCGCTCTAAAAATAGTTTATCCGTTCTAGAAATACTTTATCCGTTCTAGAAATAATTTATCAGTTCTAGAAATACTTTATCCGCTCTAGAAATACTTTATCCGTTCTAGAAATAGTTTATCCGTTCTAGAAATACTTTATCCGTTCTAGAAACACTTTATCCGTTCTAGAAATACTTTATTCGTTCCAGAAATACTTTATCCGTTCTAGAAATACTATATCCATTCTAGAAATACTTTATCCGTTCTAGAAATACTTTATCCGCTCTAGAAATATTTTATCCGTTCTAGAAATACTATATCTGTTCTAGAAATACTTTATCCGTTCTAGAAATACTACATCCGTTCTAGAAATACCATATCCGTTCTAGAAATACTTTATCCGTACTAGAAATACTTCATCCGTTCTAGAAAAACTTTATCCGTTCTAGAAATACTATATCCGTTCTAGAAAAACTATATCCGTTCTAGAAATACTTTATCCGTTCTAGAAATACTATATCCGTTCTAGAAATACTATATCCGTTCTAGAAATACTTTATCCGTTCTAGAAATACTATATCCGTTCTAGAAATACTATATCCGGTCTAGAAATACTTTATCCGTTTCAGTAATACTTTATCCGTTCTAGAAATACTTTATCCGTTCTAGAAATAGTTTATCTGTTTTTTTAATATTTTCTATTTTTTATGATCTGATAGTTACTTTTATGCCTGTTTCGAGGATTTTTGATAATGAAGACGACATTTTCATATTTTCCAGGAATGGTCGAAAATCCAGCGCCAGAGAAATATCTTTAAAAAACGAAATCAAAAATATTATAAAATATAAACTAAATACAAATGTGGCGAAAGATAATCGATGACTATAGGTTGTAATATCTGAATGATTTGTTTGAAATTAAATTGATTTTTTACGGCATAAGTCGTATGTAGCAATTTTCTCAATTTGTATGGACGCTAAGTTATTCGGTATAAGACGTTTTTAACAATTTTCTCCTTAAAGACGCAACAGATAGAAGTAAGATTAGTAGCGATTTTTATCGCATTAAGCCTTATACCCCCTTTCATTTTTCGCGAACACTCCCTTTAAATTCAAATAATAGTAGGAGTAAACTTGAGTTTCTCAGTGTCTTCTGGGATATCCTAGTTTTCAGATTTGGAGCGTATTTGTTGAATATGATCTGTTTAATACTACGAATCTTATTCAAAATCCTATATGTATACGTTTTGGTATAATGTTGACACAGTTTCATTTATTTTCTCGAGACAAGAACATCAGATATATGTCTCAATTAAATCCTGAGATTTTCAGGTTTCATCCTATACCCTCTTTCATTTTTCCGTTACAGTCCCTGAAAGGAAAATAATATTTACTTACTAGATGTGCCAGGTTACAAATTTGACAATTAATTTTTTGAAACCCGGGTTGGATAAAGAATATGCTAGATTTTCTAGGAATAAATGTGACGTCATCCGTTTTGAGTTCACACAGTACGCTAGCGTACACTCCTTTACACAGAATTTAAGAAATCAATACACTGAGGCCTCTGTCCTCAATTACAAGTCAAATGTCAAAGCGTACCGTTGTTAATCGGGGACGTACCTTTAAGAGCCTATATATCAATATGATAATAGATACATTTTGATGACGTCATGACAGAAATGAGAACTAGAGTCTGGACTACACCTGGAAAATGTCTTTATATCATTAATCCCAATTATGAAGTTGGAAGAAACAGTTCACAATATGTGACAATTTTAACTTATTTTGTTTTTTTAGATGGTTCCACAAATTTTGCACCCAACTGAAGGTTGTTGACGATAGTTTCTGCTGTAAACTTGTACAGAAAACCTGCCTTGTACGTCCTGTGCTTTAGACCTGTACATGTCGGTACACTGTACAGTGTACAGACAGTTCTCTGCTCTTCACTTAAAACGACACCAGCAGTCCCTATAAAAAGTAAACCATCTGGATACGTTACATACAAATCAATGCAAAAGACTGTCCGTCCCAAGGTTGTATAATAAGGTTAACACATCAGAATGTGCTCTAATGTATGCAAATGTCGTCTTTGTTGCAAAGGGCACTCTGAATCGTCATATGACGTTACTGCCTATTTTAAAGAATAATACATTTTGCGGCTCACTATATATAAACGAACTAAAAAATTAAAATCTTGAATTATAATTGCTTTTTTAGTTTCACACTTGTTAGCACAATCAATATTTGTTAAATTTGATGATTATTAGTTTAGTATCAGTCACGTCTTATGTTGATTTAGAGTGTCCATTGCTATGAAGGTCGTCTTTACCTACATTGGAGCGAATCCAAAGTATCCAACCTTATTATACAACCTTGGTCCGTCCCGACATTATTACATCATCCAAGATCAATTAAAGAAAAAAACTGGAATACCTGAGCTTAACAATAATTTTTCCGTTAAAACAAAGTTTTCATTTTTGTCTAAATAATTATTCTCAGAAGTTTAGCACAAGACTGCTGTATATTCGGATGTAAAATTTGGAAATTTTATTCTTTGTTTATCTTTCATTTGAAAAAGTTTACTCTATGAATTGGAAAGTTTGAAATGTGGCAGAGGAAGGAAATGTTTTCAAACTTTGGTAAAAATTTATCTTTGGAAGCCAGCACTGCTTTCTTCCTTCACATATTTTTCTTAACCGTTCATTAATAAATTATGTTCAATCAATTCAATTGTGCAATAATCACATCCTCCTTATTCCTCCCACCTTATCCGAAATTATATAATATATATATATATATATTTAATAGATTAAAGATATGTTAAACCTGTAAATTATATTTTGTTGTTTTCAGTTTGAATTGTTTATTAGATTTCTCCGAGATTTAAAATTTGAATATATAATGCACAAATCTAGAACTGGGCACGTTAGAAAATTCTTATAAAAGAGAAGAGTCTTATTTTTGTTGAAATAGTCATTTCTTTATAAAAAGCTGTGTTTTTGGTATGCAACAATTTTCATTTAATCCCGCCCCTTTTAAAAATAATTTTTAATAAGAATAATTTGTTATTTTTCACAAAGGAATGTCATTTACTCTTAGACACATTAAAATCAATGGAAATTTGTCTGAGAGTAAATGATACATTTTCTTATTTTTATTCATTACAAAATCTTTTTTAAAAAAAAAGCATATAAAAACCTGTTATCCAACGATGCCAAGCTCCATATATTGTCATCACTACTATTCAGTCATAATTTATAATTTACCGTTATCAAAATAATTTATTCTGTTAAATTGTATATCTTCAATATCACAAAGCGACTCGATCGCTTAAACTAGAAATCATAATGTCTATATAAATTTTCTTGAATAATGTTGGAATCCAGTATTTTTCTTTTCAGATTTATTTCCCATTTAAAAAATGGAGGTGAGCCTGTTTATTGAACCTGGCTGGGAGTCCAGGCTAGAGGAGGAGGGAGGGACAGCCTGGCTTTCCAAAAAAATTCGGTAATTTTGTTCTCTCGGGATTTTGAAGAAATGTATTATTTATTTAAACAAAGTTGTATTCTCTGTGTGTTTGTTTTGATCTCCGATCATAACTCATGAATCCCTTGATCAACTTGCCTCAAATTTTGACTAGGGAACTCGGGAGAACCATGGGAATGTTCCAAGCTTGGTTTTGAGATTCTAACGCTTGGTTCTCAAGCTAATTAAGACATAATTTAAACGCAATTTAACTCTTGAACTCCCCTGCAATAAATTAATGGCTTAGAAATAGTATTCTCCTAATTTTTACCATATTTTGCTTGGAAATCCAAGCCTCGTATTAAGACAATTTGCAGCATCAGAATCAGATTGTCAATTTTCAAATGGGAAAATGAGGATTTCTCCATTTTTAAATTCTACAAAGGGTTATGGTGCTTTGGCTTTTCTAAATAGAGACTCAATTGAAATTATGCCTCTGGCATATTTTGGGTCCGGTTATCCTAGTTCTTTTTACCCTCCCCCCCCCTTCTGAAAAAAAGATTGTCAAGGGATTTTTTGCTTTCAGAAAGGGGGAGGGGCTAAGGATATACGGAACATTGGTTAATTGGTTTGTTGGTTAGGTTGGTTCGTTGGTTAAGAGGTTGGTTCGTTGGTTAGGAGGTTGGCTCGCTGGTTAGGATGTTGGTTCGTTGGTTAGGCTCCTCAACTCGGACACAGTAGTCTCTAAAAATCATTAAATAGATTTATTTCAAACCTGTAATAAAATACAGGTTTAACATAAATGACAATATTTTAGTGTAGTTCAATAGCTTACTAGCTTACTAGTTTTTCGTGTCGGAGTGAAAAAGGAGTTATCAAGGGTTTGGGGGTTTGGTAGCGTAGTTTAAAACATCGAAAAAGATGTAGCAGGCGTAGAGGTCGGGGTGGTATTACTGTTGTTCAGGTCCACATCCAGGTTACGAACGTGGTTGGTTGGCGTGCTACAAATCATACAACCCTGTAGAAGGCAGGGAGAATTCCTGGCGAGGGGTCCCCAGGAACAGTATCCTGTTGGAGAGGTTGAACGACCTCCATCTTGTTCTTGGTTGTTGGTTTGAAATGTAAGAACTTGTATGTAAGAAGATGATAATTTATAAGCTTTGTTTAGGAATGAGAAAGGGGTACACCTGGATTTAACAAGAAGAGGAAATCAGGGAAATAATTATTCAGTTCTAATTCGATGATATTTTTTAAGCGTCCTTTCTATTTTACTAGACATCAAAATGATACTTTGTAAATTAATTAAACCACCTAGAAGGATACTTGCAACTTTTTCTTTAATACCTTCAACCCTGAAATGAGGTAATTGCACACTTAATTATTATTGTAAAATCAAAAATGTAAAAAAGCAACTTCATAAAACTTATTTTCAAATGAAACCATGCAGTAAACTTTAAAATAAGTTTAGGCTAAAATTTAAAGTTTTTATCTGTGCACGTATTTGCCTTGTTTTTTGGTTTGTTTTAAAAATTAAAAAAGCTAAAGCTACCGGGCAACAAATTTTTTATTTGATCCCAGCGATAGCTTTGGTCTGCCAAGGTAAAATATTCAAATGTTCACTAATTATAAAAAATCAGCAGAGCTGAAAACTTAAGAGTTATGGATTTCAAGGAGAGTTGTGGATATCGAGATCAATGCTTGATTTTCCTTTTCTGTTAATCTGAAGATTACTTTAATCTTAAGTATGGATCCACAAACTAGGTCACAAAGAGCGTATTAACGTTGTGAAATTAAGAGTGTCCACATTGGATATTCAGATTAAGCAATCGGGATTAAAGGTATCCAATTCTAAAGTTCCCAGCTCTCTTAAAACGGGAATATGTGCGAAATGAGATTGAATAATTAATGTACTGCGTAAGGTTTGTGGTGATGAGGGTTTACACGGGTTCCTGGTGAAACCAAGGATTCTCAGTATATCCTGGGGTACAGATACTGCGGCCTTCCTCGCCCCTCAACAAATATTCAAATTCGATACCCCGGTCAGTTCAACCTTTATCCATCCACAACTAGTAAACACAACTTTTTGCTTTGTTGACAAAAGCCAAAAATTTTATTAGATTTTTTATTGACATTTTAAAATATATTTTTTGGTAGTGTTCTTTTTAGACATATAATGTACTCTCTTTGTACTTCTGTTATGTACCCGCCTCCTGCCTATGTACTTCTGTTGTGTACCCGCCTCCTGCCTATGTACTTCTGTTATGTTCCCGCCTCCTGCCAATGTAGTTTTTAGCAATTGATAAACACTTTATTTGAAAAAGCTTTTGCCACAAATTAGAATTTTCTAATTCCTATTTCTTTGCAACATGATGGTTTAGAATTTCAAACGTTGACTACTTGACCTAACAGAATTGATAGTTTGAAATATCATAGAACTACAAAATTGGTGACCAATGTGCAAAGATATTGGTATTAGAAAATCAGCGTTTATGGCGAAAATTCAATTCCTTTCACCTGGCCACCCAAAAGATGGCTTTTATCTTAATCATTGATAACAATATCCAAAAAAGTAACAGTTCAATCTTTTAAAAAAGTATTTGTATTTCGAAATTATTTTGAATTTTGTCAATGATTTTTTTTGTGTTATACGTTCTTTGTAATTTAATTTTAAATGACTGTATTTTTTTTTATCTTAAAAATGACATAACCTGTTCAGCAAGATAGGCATTATAATTTGAATAAAATGTTGTTGACAATTTTTTTCATTTGTCCGATAAAAATTTACGACCAGGCTTTTTAGAAGCGAAACCTGGATTAGAAAATGATAGAAGTGTTGGCCAAGGAAGTAAAACGATAATTTACGCCGATTAAGGTTTTAGAAGTAATTTTGGGAACGACGCCCTTTAATTGAAGAGTCGCTTTAAACTACGTTCGCCAATCCCTTTAATATTTTTCTATTTGCAGTTATCCGGTTTGGATGTTGGAGTGGGAGGTTTAGGAGTTATTAGCTCCGCAGAAAGAATTCTCGTCTTTGAAACTCAGGAATTCCTTTCATAAATAAAACCTTAAATCAAAGCTTGGAGATGGCACAAGGCGGCAAGGTTTCAGTGTTTATTGTACAAGAAACTTGAATTTTTATTTTCCTTTTATCTTTAATAATAACAGGTTGAACTAGCGCTTAAAAACGCCCGTAAACGTAGAAAGTCCTTAGAGTCCGAAATGAGACCAATTGGTCTTTAATTAACAATGTGTTTTTTGAACTTTCCTTTGTTATAATTTCTACTTTCTGGAGACAATTTGTATTCCTTGTCCCAAGGGAATAAGTTTTGAATTAAGACTTGAAATCCTTATTGTCATCTTCCATTACTGAAAGGTATAAAAGGAATGATGGTGCAGAGTGGAGAAGTGAGACGGCAGTTTCAAGAACATGTTGCAGAGGTGAATATTATTATTTTCATAATAGTCATTTCATTATTATAATAATAATAATATCATTAGCTTAAAATAAAGGATTCAAGGTTCATGTTTTATTAATTTATTGGAATTGATGATTCTGGTTCCATTGCTAAGTAGTTTTACTAATTCAGTGTCTTAGATATCACGGGTAAATGGTTCCGGGTTCATTGGATAAATGGTTCCTTGTTCCATGGGTAAATGGTTCCTGGTTCCATGGATAAATGGTTCCGGATTCCATGAGTGAATAATTTCTGGTTCCATGTGTGAATGGTTCCGGGTTCCATGGGTAAATGGTTCCTGGTTCCATGGGTAAATTGTTCCGGTTTCCATGAGTTAATAGTTTTTGGTTCCATGGGTGAATGATTCCGGGTTCATTGCTTAAATGGTTCTGGGATCCATGAGTAAATGGTTTTGGGTTCCATGAGTAAATGGTTTTGGGTTCCATGAGTAAATGGTTCTGGGTTCCATGAGTAAATGGTTTTGGGTTCCATGAGTAAATGGTTCTGGGTTCCATGAGTAAATGGTTCTGGGTTCCATGAGTAAATGGTTCCAAGTTCTATGGGTAAATTGTTCCGGGTTCATTGGGTAAAAGATTCCGAGTTCCATGTTCTCAAACCATATCTCAATTTAAGAATCAATTATTAACTCGCTATTTAAGGCCCTTTTAGAACTAGAAATATATTTTTCTATCTCTCTTGAATTAAAATCTCGTTTGATTCGAATAAATTTTGTATCTCCTAAACACTAAACCGTATGTAGTCTAGATGGGCGGGGGGAGGGGGGGGGGAAGATGGATAAAATGATTATCTTTAGGCTGTTACTTAAACCTGTATAATGGAAAGACTATTGTTACAGTCTCCAAAAATGGATAAAATGTCTATTTTAAGGCTGTAACTGGTGCCTGTATAGTGGAAAAGGGAAAGAATATTGCTACAGTGTCTAAAGACGGATCGGTTAGACTTTGGATTTGTGGGCAGTCAAGGTAACCCATTTATTTTAATTAATGAAATAAAATGTTTTCGTTCCAATTAAGCAACAAAATTAACATAATTTTCAAGCTTCCAAAAAGTTTTTTTTGAAATATTAACCTTTAAATTAAAATATAACGCAAAAAGAAATGTATGCGAAGCATAAACGGACAAAAGATAATAGTACGAATTGATTGTTGCTATTTTTATTAAATGCGAATTTGTCAGAAACCGTCTAAAACAAGGTTTTAAAACGTACCTTTTGGAAAATGTTTTCCACTATCTTAAATATCATATTTTTCTGGTGGTGTATTTTTCGACTTACGCAAATCCGCGATACTTTACTTCTGACCTACGACAAATCCGCTATGCTACACATCCGACCTAATACACGTGGTTTTACAGCTGCTAAATGGACTTGTGGCCGCAGCGCCCAGTCCCCTAGTCTTTCCTAGCCGTGGCGCTCTGCCCCTTAGCTTTTTCTAGCCGCAGCGCTCGGCCCAGAAATTGTATGTATGTAACATTTTTATATTTGTGTGTGTAATATAAGGAAGGTGCATGTATTGTATATATTTGTGTGTGTAATATAAGGAAGGTGCATGTATTGTATATATAACATTTTTATATTTGTGTGTGTAATATAAGGAAGGTGCATGTATTGTATATATAACATTTTTATATTTGTTGCAAACTTTTCAATGCTTGCATTTGTCAAGCAAAAAGGATTTCTTTTGCTGAAAAGTTGTTTATTATTTATGAATTCTTTTTCAAACTCTTGTTCTTGTGTTTTTGATTTATGCAGAAGTATATGAAAATACGGTTCCTTCTTTTATATTCTAAGAAAACTCTTTTAACCATTGAAGAACAAAGTCTTGGATGAACAAAGCTAATATATACATTTTTTTAACATGAATACAAAATGCAAAAATATCTGCAATGTCTAGGCAGAATCTTCGTTTTTGCACATTGAAAGTCTTTTCTGTTTGCAAAACAGAAATTAAAAAACTTTTTTAATTAATAATTTTGTAGAACAAAATTTCCATTTTTATTAAATATAAAAAAAAATTTCAATGAAGGTCAAATAAAATGATTTAAGAAAAAATCTAGTTCATTCTAGATTTCTAGGGGGAAAGTTAAATGCCAAAAACGTAAATCCTTAAAATAATTCCATCAAATCCAAATTTGAAATGAATGCCCTTTTTCTAGCAATAAAATGGTAAATATAATTTATAGTAGGGTTAAAAGGAAATAATAATAATTCTTGGTGAAAACTACAGAAAAAGGAAGCTGTGCATCACCTACGGTTTCATAGAGTTGAGAAAAGGAGAGAGTAGTTTACATTGGATATTTTCAGATGCTTTGCTGTGATAGAAACCGGGGATATCTTAAACACTTGTACACTACTGGATACAACCACATTCACTTCGGTAATATAATATTTATTACGAAACAATTTTCTTATATTTGGAAATATTAAAAAATAAAGATAATGAAATATCAAGACTGCAGGATAGTATTTGATGGTGCAAAGAGTGCCCCCCCCCCCCCCCCCCGATATGTTCAACCATGGGGGGGGGAGCATAGTACTCCTGTAGGAGATGAGGTAGGAGAGGAGGGAGTTGAAGATAAACTTCTGCAGGGTGCATTTCTAGGATATTTAGCTTGGAACTCATTGAGGAGATAAGATAGGAGAGTAGGAAGTTCAGGATAAACTCTTGTAAACTGTATTTCTAGGATATTTAGCTTGGAACTCCTGTAGGAGATGAGATAGGAGAGGAGGGAGTTAAGGATAAACTCCTGAAAGGTTCATTGCTAGGATTTAGAGCTTCAAACTCCTGTAGGAGATGAGATAGGAGAGAAGGGAGTTGGGGATAAACTCCTGTAAGGTTTATTTCTAGGATATTGAGCTTGGAACCCCTGTAGGAGATGAGCTAGGAGAGGAGGAAGTTCAGGATAAACTCCTATAACCTGTATTTCTAGGATATTGAGCTTGGAACTCCTGTAGGAGATGAGCTAGGAGAGGAGGGAGTTCAGGATAAACTCCTGGTGGCAGGAGGAGAACAAGGAGGAGTTTATCTAGTTGATCTAGCAGCGAGACAGATTATTACAAGGTTCGGATTAAATTTCTCTTCTTACCAAAGCATCTAACAAGTTTCAAACAGAATCCATTTAACTATGCCGTCTAAAATATTAGTGGCTGTTATGGTGAAAAATATTGATTTAATTAACTTAATGTTTTAAAATAAAGAATAATTCTAACACTTCTATTTAACTAATATCTATGCCATCTAAAGTATAGTGGATGTCATGTTGAAAAATATTGATTTAATTAACTTCAAGTTTTAAAATAAAAAATAATTCTAACACTTCTATTTAACTAATAACTATGCCATCTAGAATATAGTGTTATGTTGAAAAATATTGATTTTATTGACTTAATGTTTTAGAATAACATTGAAAGAAATAGATCACTTCTTTGTTAGAATGGTTATCAAGCGTTTTGATCTAATTCGCAAAAAGTTGATAAAAAATTTTGAAAATAAGTTCATGGCCTCCCTTTTGTTATAGAACATGAATATTATGATAAAATTGTCATCGAGCGTTTTAAAAAAAAAGTGTCCAATGTCCTTTGTCCATCTAACCTCCATCCAACTACAAACTAGTTAAAAACTTAATACCCTGCATGTTGTTCAAATATTACCAAAAGAAACTGAACACTCGCCTCAAACTCTAGTTTTATAATTTCCATAGCTTTGCAACCTGATAGTGAAATCTTTTAAGATTTGACTTTTTGAACTAAAATAATATTAAATATTATATCATATCTGTTCAGTTCCATAGTAGTAAACCTATCATGTAAGAATTCCCATTATTACACGGTTCAGGAGGAACAATTTTAATATTGTTCGCTTCCTAGCGTTTAAGAATGCTTATTCTTACACTGTAGGTGCAGAATTTTCATTCTTTAACGCTCAGACCGTGTAAGAATGGAAATTATTACACGGTCAGAGCGTGAAAGAATGTATATTCTTACACGCTCCAAGCATTAAATTAAAGAATGGAAATTCTTACACTAGTTGAAGAATATTCATTCTTACACGCTCCTTATATTGATCTTTTCAGTATAGATCAATATAGATATTAACTTAATTAACTCACCTTTTTCTTTTACATTAATACATACAAACTTACCTTTTTTAACTTAAAAACAGCATGCTCACTTACCTTTTTCTTTTATATCAAAACATGCAAACTTACCTTTTTTACTTTATTAAAACATGCTCACTTACCTTTTCATGCTCACTTACCTTTTTTGTTTTTTGAAGTATTGATATACCTTAATTCAGAAATATCAATTTGAATCTCAACCCTAGTCCTGACAGAAGAGTGGAAATTAACATTTTCTGACCACTCCCAAAAATATGGACGATGCTTTTAGCCTTCCATTAGACACTTCCATCAAACTGCCGAGTCTTAAAGCATACTGCCCGACTGCCTACTTTATTAATTTTTTTTCAGTTTAAGTTCATTTTCATTCAAACCAAGTTCGGTGAGATTTTGCAAATCTCTGCATACTTGTATAGTATGGTCAGAGCTTTTCAGTCTGAGTCACCATATCTCACATAGTTCGAGATGAGGAAGTGAAACCACAATCAAAACCAAAAAAAAATATAAAAACTTATCATTGAAATATTAGTGTCACATTTTTAATGGAGTCTTAGCACTCCATAGCAATGAAAACAAACCAGTAAATCTTGCTTCATGAATAAAAGACAAAGATCTTCATCAGTTCATGTCGAACTGATTCTTACTAGATAACCTGATTTTATCTCCTCTTTTTGGAAGATTTAGGATCTAATATCCAGAAAATGATTTCTTCTATAAATGAAGACACGATATTGTTCAGTAGATTAAGACAACCCAATACAATACCTTCTCCCCATCTAAAAAAAAACTCAGGGCACATTTAACATGCTGTATATCAATAACTTGAAAAAACGAGCAAAATCATTAGAAATTGGTAAACAAACTAAACTAAACTAAATTAAGGAAACAATCACACCACATGCATTACTTTCAAATTAAGAACCAATTTTTACTTTTAAAATGTTTTTTTTTAACATTAGAAAAATAAAAAAGCGTTAGTCAGAACAAGAGCATAAAACTTATTTGCAACCTTTCATAATGTGAACTGTTTCAACTTAAAATAGTCGGATTTCACCAGAATTATTTTTTAATATAATTTCTTGGGTATGTGCCCATGGAACCTCACAAATATGATATAATAATAATCTTATGAGGATAAAAATGTAATAATGGAATTCTTAAACTCGATGAAATAATCTTGATGCATTCTTTAACTCAGGCCTGCGGCCTTCGTTAAAGAATGTATCAAGATTATTTCATCTCGTTTAAGAATTTCCATTATTACATTTTTTTCCTCATAAGATTATCATATTATTATTTACGAAATTGATTTGCTAACATATAATGATTAGAACATTTAATTTTGAGAAAAGGCATTAATCATTTAATTCTTTCAAAATTGTCATTGTGAATCATTTTTTCAATCTACACATAAAGAGTCGCCTAAAATTACATTTCTTATTCAGGTTTAAGTGTGACTCTGCTGTTAACTGTATTGCTAGCCGTGATAAAGAAATCCTTGCAGGAATATAATCCTTCAGATTTTACCATCTTAATCCTTAAACTACATAATTTATGTATTCCACTAGGGGAGAACACAAGAAACAATATCAAAACATGAAATTCAAACTTCAAAATTAAAATCTGGAGAAATTTAAATATAAGTTTTATTATTAAATATTGAAACTATAAAATTGAAACTTGGAATTAGAAATTTGGAAATGAAAACTTTGAATTGGAAATTTGTCTATTGAAACTTAGAATTGGAAATTTGGTAATGTAAACTTTGAATTGGAAATTTGTTTATTGAAACTTAGAACTGGAAATTTGGAAATTGAAACTTAGAATAGGAAATTTGGAAATTAAAACTTAGAATTGGAAATTTGGAAATTGAAACTTGGAATAGGAAATTTGGAAATTGAAACTTGGAATTGGAAATTTGGAAATGATAACTTGGAATTGGAAATGTCCAATTTATAACGGTACCCTTGAAACCTTAATATGATAAAAAGTGTGGTAGATACCTTCGTTTTTCTGACTCGAAAAGGTTTCATTTCTGTGAATTTCTCTATTGCTTCTTATAAATTAGAAATAAGCACGTCACTTTCGCAGAGAAACCGCAAACGAAAATAAAACAGTTTAATTAAACAAAAATATTGATATCTAATTAATACTTGATCAATCAAAGCTTTCAAGGCGACGGTGGTACAGTTGAAATATTGGCATTGTCATCTTTGCATGGAGGGTTACTATAAGTAACCGTATATTCCTTTAATTGTTCAATCTGTTCGGATTTTATCCTACTTTATCTTTCTTTTAAATTTATATTTTTCTATTTAATCTTTTTGAATTTAACTACTATTTTATAAACTTCGTCTTTGTAGTTTCTAAACTGTTTTATTTTCAAGCTTCTAGATTTAATTTAATGAATTTTATATTATTGTATAAAAGGTTGGTAGGAGATGTAGAGATAAGATGTATATATGTAAGAGCGGATCAAAGGATTACTTCAATGTTTAATTAAGAATATTATATTTCAAACCTGTTTCTGGGAATTAGACGTTTATGCAATTTACTCATTAATTCTTGATGAATATATGTATGCTTGAATGTCCCAAGTACTCTAGTAGTTTTGGGCATCGTTATGTATCAATTTTCAAGATGCTTCTGAAAGGGACAGACCGGCTATGTAAGATAGTTAAAATTAATTCTAAAGAATTTTTCCACAACACTGCATACTCAGTTTATCTACCTTACATAGCCGGTCTGTGTCTTCTATCAAGTTTTATAAGTTTTGATTTGATATTTTCCTAAATGTGCGTTGCCTTTTTTTGTGCTGTCAAAATTACCGGATATATTTTGAATCGCGTTCTGAAAAAATTGTCAAAATCTGAACAAAGTTATTCATATCTCCTGACAGAATGACAGACCTCATTTTGGAAATGATTATTAACTCTCTAGACTTATACTTCTAAAACTAGGTTTACAAATAATGTGCCGCAAATTATTTCAAAGATCAAAGCCGACATTCAAGTCATCTTGCTACTGTAATGTTATGAGACACCCTGTTGTAAAAACATCTTTTTTAGATGAATTCAAGCGTTTAAAAAGATTCCCTTGACTATAATCCTGGTCACCGTCAGCACCGTCCATATCTATTTTATTGAAAGCTTAATCTTGGTATAGAATAGACTAATCTGAAGATGGAGCTGAGGATTAGGATTGTTTGATGAATATAATTCCTTGAGAAGAAACTCAAGTTTATATTAATCAGGAGAGGAGGTGGTGTAGGCGAAAGGGGGTGGGTAAGTTTGCAATATTTTTAAGTTCTAATGATGTGGAAGCAAGCCAGCTTGCAATTCAAGTTTATATATTGGAAACAAACAAACAAACAGACAGACAAGGCAAATATAAATATAGAAATAGAATTACTTTGGATTTTCCAATTTAGAACAAATACCTTCCTTTGTAGATCTAAAAGTTGTGCGAAGCGCACTGAATTTTTATAGTTTAATCTAAATAAGGATGTATAAAGGTTGTGAGGGAGGACAGGTATATATATTCTCTCTGCAAGCTCTAGTCAGGGTTATCCACACCTCTAATAGTCCTGTTCTTTCAATTCTTAGTTTAGGTAAATATATTTATTTAGGTTGACCGTTCACAGGCAACCAGTTTAATCTATATAATAGAACACGACATTCATATAAATATATGTTGCCTATTGCCTGCCAAACGGCTTGACCGATTGGACTGAAATTTTTGTGGACACGCATGGGTGGCCGTGTAAGAGGTTAAAAAAATTCAATTTTTTTTTTATTTGATTTTTTCCACGGGCAACGCCGGGCCATTCAGCTTATAATTGAAAATTGTTTACCCTGAAAAAAAGGCAATTTAAACTTACATTATTGCTGGTCCTGTCTTTTTTTTTTTCTCAATCACTCTCACAAATGTAATTTTTTCTTCATTATGCTGGAAAGGTATTAATCGCTGAATTTCAGCTTCTGAATTAATTACTGAGGTTGACACTGGGGAAAATCTAAGAAGAATTGGAAATAATGTATTTAAAGGAGTAGCTTGGACGTTTTAGAAATCTCAATTTTTATCTTAGATATGCTACAATATTCTAGTCTTGCTCCTACATTTTGTGAAAATGTTTTAAAAGTTTTCAGTTTTTTAAAGAATTTTTCTTGCTAGGATAAAAGTTTGCATTATGTAAACAATTCTTTTTAATTACATGTGCCCCCGAGGCATTGTTAAAATATCATTCTTAACTTTGCAAATTTTTTAGATTTTGGATATTTTGTTGGACGGAAAGATGGAAGTACAACAGTACACTGCACAAACTCCTGCTCAACCATAAATCTTTCAGGTAAAATATTTGTACTTTGTATACTTAATACTTATTCAGGGGCGAACCCTGTGTACCCTCTAGGCCCTCCTGGCCCGTAGGCCTAATATATTAAACTTACTTACATATGTTCTTTTCTTATAAATAGACAATGTACTTAGCATTGATTAACCATACAATAGATTGATTAAACATACAACTGATTGATTAACTATATAATTGATTGATTAACCATACAATTGATTGATTAAACATACAACTGATTGATTAACCATACAACTGATTGATTAACTATATAATTGATTGATTAAACATACAACTGATTGATTAGTTATACAACTAATTGATTACCCATATAACTGATTGATTAACAATAACAATGCAGTATGTTTTCATTCAAAAGTTGTTTTATTTAAAGGGATTGTTCACTTTTTACTGTTTGCCTACTAATAATACTCATAATACTTACATTAACTTACATTATTATTTATTTTAAGTATTTTAAAATAAGTGAACACTCTCTTAAAGGTCCTGACTATGATGGGGTGACAGGTTTATCTGCAGATGGTGAATATGTTTACACTGCCTCTAGGTTAGTTATAGTATTGCAGGGGAGTGGGGGGAAGGTCAACACTGGAAAATATGAGCTTTATTTGATTATCAAAATTCTGGGAAATCATTATTTTAAACAATTTTGAAAAATATGATTTCCAACATTGCCAAAATATATGATTATTTTCAAAATTTATTTAAGAGTGAAATTTGTTTAACTATTTTTTTAAGGTTTTATCAAATCCAGGTCCTTCATGAGTGTAAACATAATGTAAACCTATAAATGATGAGAATCAGCTGAAAATGCAAATGTCGTGTGGCTCTAGTTAAAATGCTAATAGTATAATTTCTTTATAAACTTTACCAAGAATTGTTTTCCAGATATTTATTAATGGAGACCAAATGAAGGGGTTGAAAAGCTTAATTCTAAAGTTGTTAATTAATACAAATATTCATTGCGAAACTTCCTGTATTCGCATTATGACGTTTCTCTTTCCACGATAAGGAATTGTCTAGAAAAAATAAATAGTTGAAGAAAAAGATAAAATTCTAGGTTTTAAGAATATTATTTTTATTTAGGGACGGCTGCGTGAGGAAGTACAGTTTAGCAAACATCCAACTGGCCGCTAAAAACTGAAAAGTGTGAATTTACATTTCAAAAACCAGTTTGTGAACTAAAATAAACAAAGCAACAGAAAAATATAACCTTCCATTTCAAACAATAATGAAAGCTTCTAAATTTGATGGAATGCAAAAAGTCCACATCGGACGCACTGTAATGTATTTTATTAATACTGTAATGTATTTTATTAATACTTTTTTGATGAACAAGTCAGCCAAAAAAACAGTAAAGAAACGTGCTCCAAAAATATTAATGCAAATGTAAAATTATAATTATACTTTTTTTCTCATCTACTCTCTCAACACAAAATACAGACAACGTAAAGTTCAGCTTTAATTTTTGTTCCTTTGTAAAAAATTGTTTTCTTAGCTCAGCATGTTTCTGAATTCTGCTGACTCGGTAGTTCAATGTTGTTCAAAGAAACCTCTGCAATATTTTAGAAAACCGGGACCAAAGAAACAAAATGCCTTAAAACTAAACAGTTTTTACTACAACAAAGATGTCCGCAAAAATATTTTTTTTTCTTTAGACCTGTTCGCACCTAAACTGTTCCCAAGGCCCCTAAGTACATAACAAACAATGACACAATTTAAGATTCAGTCACTGTTTCAAGATTAAGAGATAAGGTATTTTATAACCTAAAGTGAAATAGTAAACAAACGTAACTGTTTAGCAACCCCAACACAATTAATTATGAGGCCGAATTTAAAGAATTTGAACCGCGGCTTAAATTTGAGACGCGGCTCAAATATGGTTGGTTCCACTTAAAATCGTATTCAATGTTTCAAGATTTAAGCAGGCGCTCAATTGAAACCGGTTTTTGGGGGATTTAAAACGCGGCTCAAATTTATTAAATTCGGACTCTGTTTAGATATTAATAGATTTTGTTAATCATGATATATTACAGTAGCTTAAAGGGACTGTAAGGATAATTTCAAATGTGACCTTCATTTTAAAGAGTTGCATCACCAATTCACAACGGTACCATTTTAAACCTTTGACTGATCAAGGATTTCAACCATATCCTTATTTATATACCTAAGCCTTTCGCAAGCTCTTACATTTTTAAGAAATATTAATAGTTACCTTCTTCAAGTGGTAGAAAATGAAAATTTTCTTTCGAACACTTTAAATGCGAAAAAATACGATTTTTTCAAGTATAAACGGCCCAGCTGTGTTGAGATCACATTGTACGCAGCGTACACGGGGTTTTTGAATAATTCAGCAGCTACACAGAGCTTTCCGTACTCGATGAAGAGTCACCGGTTTAAGGCTTAAGCAAACTATTGTGAGACGGGGGGCGGGGGGGGGGAAACATGTTTTGTCAACAATAGTATATCTGTCACAATTTCAATTAGGCTTGTATCCACCAGACATTTTTACCACTTCTTTCTCTCCCCCCAATAGCGTCCGGCAAATTACAAAAAAAAAGGTAATTTAAGCCTTGATAAGGTTTAAAAATAATCTTAACTTTTTATGACTGTGCAAACAGAATTTCTCTTAGTTATTATCATTCATTCAGTTAGAAAACTTAATTTTAGATTAAATTCAAACTTAATTCAACATTTTAATTAAGAGACATCAATCTTGCAAATTATTCCATTCTACATTCTACAGAATATAATTTCCTTTTCTGTTATTTAAAAGTATTTAAATGGTCTAAATGGTAATAATCTGTCCTGAACTATACAATAATACAATATACTGATTTTAATAAACAATTCTGATATGACCTATACAATAATACTGGTTTTATGCACAGTTCTGTTATGAACTAAATATACATGTTTTAATTAACAGATCTGATATAAACGATACAATATACTGGTGTTAATTAACAGTTCTGATATGAACTATACAATATACTGGTGTAAATAAACAGTTCTGATATGAGCTATACAATATACTGGTGTAAATAAACAGTTCTGATATGAACTATACAATATACTGGTGTAAATAAACAGTTCTGATATGAGCTATACAATATACTGGTGTAAATAAACAGTTCTGATATGAGCTATGTACAATATACTGGTGTAAATAAACAGTTCTGATATGAGCTATACAATATACAGGTTTGAATAAACAGTTCTCATATGACTATACAATATACTGGTTTTAATTAACAGTTCTGATATTAACTATGCCAAATACTGGTTGTTAATTAACAGTTCTGAAATTTATAAGTTATGATTTGAATCAAAGGTTTATGTGAAAAAAAACGCGAACAAATTCACAATGATATTGAATTTATTTCGTTTCTCATGTATTTTTCCAAAATTATGATTATATTATTTTTTCAGAAAAGAATGGTCGGCCTTTACTACGAATATCTGGGTAGGTTGATAACTTAACGTAGTTTTTATAATTTAAAAATATAACAATTAATAATAAAGGAATTGTGTTTTTGCTACTTATTTAATACTATTTTGAGAATAATAAGAAATATACCCGATTATCCGACCTAAAGGAAAAGCTGACCCTAAATTTGTCCGACCTTAAAATTGTTATATATCTAAAAATTGGTTTGGTTGTTAAGCTGGGAAGATGGAGTCGGACATCCCTTAGGGTAGTTTTCCTCTAGGTCAGTTTTCATAGCATCGAAGAAATAATTTTTGTATTTGAATTGAATAGATTACTAATTTAGTCGGATCCAAAATTGCATTTTTTCTTCCAAAGTTTAAGTTATCCTCTAAAGTTGGTGAAAAATTCAGAATTGAGGTTGCCACGGTTTCCTAACTTTGTGAATATTAGATTAGGCGAGGAAGGAAAATTTCATATTTTCATATTTTCATATTTTCATATTTTCATATTTTCATATTTTCATATTTTCATATTTTCATATTTTCATATTTCATATTTTCATATTTTCATATTTTCATATTTTCATATTTTCATATTTTCATATTTTCATAATTTCATATTTTCATATTTTCATATTTTCATATTTTCATAATTTCATATTTTCATAATTTCATAATTTCATATTTTCATATTTTCATAATTTCATAATTTCATATTTTCATATTTTCATAATTTCATAATTTCATAATTTTCATATTTTCATATTTTTATATTTTCATATGCTAAAAATATATTTTTTATATGCTGAAAATGTATTTTTTTCTTCCCACCCTAGTATAAATGGTACTGAAAATTTGTGGCATGAGTCCGGTCCTATTGTCGTGAGCTATCCATAATTTCGTTTTTTAAAATTTATTTATTTTATTGTGATTTCTCTTTAGAAGTGAGGGCTATTTGAAATTGCAACGACAGTCCCATTAAAATCACATTATCTACAATGTACAATGCAGATTTACTTTAAAAAAATTATCATTTTTTAACTGGGGCAATTACTAGATTCTTTGAAAAAGTATAATTTAACTTCCAAGAAAAGCATTCTGAAAAACTTTAGTTTCTTCAAAATGAGAAAACTAAATTTGTAAGAGAGGAGAGGCTGGGTGGGGTGGGGGGAGGGATCAGCGTGACATAACCCAACCATTTTCCAATCTAGAATAATATTTAGGACCGACCATTCTGTCGGGGTTCGAAACTTACAAATATAGTTGTAAAGATACTAGTCCACTCAGTCAGTATGTAATGCATCCATTCTGGAATCAGGTTAGTTCTTTCAAGAAGTACATTAGGGTTTCTAGCGAACGTAAACTTTTGCGTATTTACAAACTTTCCCGCGAACTTTTCTCATTTTTTATTTCGCGAATATTTCGCATTTTTTCGCGAAACAGATCTCATGGCGAAATTTCGCGAAAAAAAGTTGCGATTTCCCAATTTAGCCGGAAACCCTTATTGGGATCCATAAATCAGTGGAATGGATTTTCAAGATGTAAGTTTACTTTGAGTTGAATTGATTTGATTTGACTTAATAAAATAAGAATGCTCGGCTTAAACCTTTTCCAGCGTTAGATGGGTCCCGCTGTAGCCTTCTTTAATTTTTAATTAAAATAAATTTATATGAGTATTTTCAGCCTGTTTTTATTTAGATAAAATTCTATTATTTAGTTTTGCTTTTATTTTGTACTTCTTTTTCCAAGTCAGAAATTTTAGGCACTTCGCAACCCTCTTTCTTCTCATTCGGGAGCACACCAACAAAAATATTGTCATTTTTTATTGTTATTTTAAAAAATTAGTTTTTAATTCTGAAAGCTTTTTATCTCGGGGCCATGTCCAAAATCAAAATTTCCTTCCCATAAAAATGATTTTAAAAAAACTCACCATGTTTTTTTAATTTAAATGTCAAATGCCAAATATCGTGATATCTTTGGATTTTCAAACATAATGTTATTCATATTATAAGATATTTTTATTAATAACTGTAACTTGTGACTAATGATTGGTATCGTTATGATAGGTATCGTTATGATAGGTATCGTTATGATAGGTATCGTTATGAGGTCCTTTTTCTAAACATTTAAAGCTTTCAGACTTTTTAGAGACTGAATCTGATATGTTTACACTGTTTGAAAATTTTATGCTTAATAATTTTACTTTCAATACATTATGCAAAATTTTACTCTGACCAAAGATATTAACATTAACGATTTTTTGAAACGATTTATAAAAATGTTTTGAGAAATCGTTTAAAAATAGTTTGAGCTAAAATCTTTGTTCAGAGAAAAAAAATGTTTAAGGAAATAATAACAAACTTATCAAGCATAAAATATTGAAACAGGGTTATTATCTTGGAATCTTGTGGAGCACTTAGAAAGCCAAAATGATTAGAAACGGACTTGTATACGATACCTATTCCTACTTGTGACTCAAGTACTTGAATATTGTAGGTTGTGAAGCTATGTCCTGCCTGGGTAGCTCCGAACCTATTGACCCTGGTCGGGTTTATCTGCTGTGTCGGTCACTTTCTTCTACTCACAATATACGATTACGATTTCACCGCCGGCACAGCACCTCCAGATATAAGGAAATCATCAATTCATCTCGTTTAATATATGGATCAGAGGCGTACACAGGAGGGGGCTATGGTGGCTCATCCCCCCTATCAGTAAATTTTATGATTTTCAAGGTTTTTTCAGATCTCAAAGGGTGATTTCCCCCCCCCCCCCTGGGCCAATTCATGTGTATGCCACTGATATGGATTGAGTTTTGTGGCACCTAAGTCGAAATTTCTAGTAATCTTTGAATCTTCTTATTCTATTTGTATTTTAGTATTTTGAAATAATTGATTCATTTTAAAACAGTGGACTTAAAGATGTACCAGGAGGAACAGAAATTCCAGGTTTTAGTTTAATTATTTTTGGTTTAACAATTAAAAACAAGCACGAAGAACCAAACATTATGAAAACTTGATAGACATATCATAGGGATCCATTCTATTTAGAATTCGTAAACGGATGTCATTTAGGATATATATGGATATCAGTAGTTATTCTTCTAAAGGATATATATAGATAATAGTACAGATATTCTACTATTTAGGATATATATGGATATCAGTAGCTATACTTCTATTTGGAATATATATGGATATCATTAGCTATTCTTCTATTTAGGATATATGTGGATATCAGTAGTTATTCTTATATTTAGGATATACATGGAAAACAGTAGTTATTCTTGTATTTAGGATATATATGGTATATCAGTATCTATTCTTCCATTAAGGATATATATGGTATATCAGTATCTATTTTTCTATTAAGGATATATATGGATATCAGTAGCTATACTTGTTTTTAGGATATATTTGGATATAACTAGCTATTCTTGTTTTCAGGATATATATGGATATCAGTAGCTATACTTGTATTTAGAATATATATGGATATCACTAGCTATTCTTGTATTCAGGATATATATGGATATCAGTAGCTATACTTGATATATATGGATATCAGTAGCTATACTTGTATTTAGAATATATATGGATATCACTAGCTATTCTTGTATTCAGGATATATATGGATATCAGTAGCTATACTTGTATTTAGGATATATTTGGATATCACTAGCTATTCTTCTATTAAGGATATTTATGGATATCAGTAGCTATATTTGTATTTAGAATATATTTGGATATCATTAGCTATTCTTGTTTTCAGGATATATATATGGATATCAGTAGCTATACTTGTATTCAGAATATATATGGATATCACTAGCTATTCTTGTATTTAGGATATATATGGATATCAGTAGCTATACTTCTATTTCTTTCTCACACCTTGGACGGAATAGACGGAAAACAGGTTAAATTTTACCTTCTTTATTATTTTTGTTTTGAACTACAATGACATGTAAAAATTATGTTATTTTTTTTCCTGGTTCAATCGTCAATACATTTTCTACCCTTGTAATTTTGTTCTTTATCCTACCGGGTATTATTTTTTTTTAATTTGTCAGCGTAATTTCAAGTGACCCTCCATGGAAAGATGACAATGCCCAATTCAACATGGTTCCCTTAAGAACTTTGTCTGTTCAAGTATGAATTAGATATCAATGTTCATAGTTAATAAAACGATTGTGTTTCTCTATAGAAGTGACTTTCGCATTATATAAAAATTGTCAGAATTAAACACTATTCAATCTAGAAAAACGACAATATTTTCCACATTATTGATTAGATAATGGTTTCCAGGGTATCTTTGTTATGCGGGTATTCCCATCTATGCATGCGAGCTCACTTGAAATTAAACATTCAGTCCCTTTAATATCTTTTTTTCCTCCCAAGGATCGTATCTTTTGATCCTTATTGTGTGCAGTCTAATTAGAAATTTGATCCCTGAGATTTTGAACAATTTTCCTTTCTTTGTTAAATGAACTAAGGAAATAATTTTCTTTAACCCTCTCAATTTCACCATTTCCCTAAAACTTGTGTTGTGGAAAAAATTCCGTTGAAATCATGTTTAATTCTGATTATATCCTCCATTGTTTCCATTGTATCTATAGAGAAACCACAAAAAAATAACATATTATCTAAAGAAGAAAATGGATGTCTTATGCATTATTTATCAGACAAAGCGTTAAAGGGTACTGATTTTTTTTTTTTAATTTAAATTTATTTTTTATTTTTTACAAAATTGTATAAATCATCAGATGATCTGTATTTCTAAAGTCTCAATTCTCTTGTTCTTGTTTGTGTATCCACGAGTTTACGGCTGATTTTGAGAAAAGAAATGAAAGACATGTTTTGTGACATCCCTGTAAAAAGCTGTATAAGGGTACTGATGAGGATCGGACATATCAATCTTTAAATAGAGAGTCCATTTAAAACGTTTAAGCCTTGATTTTTCCTTCAAGAATTTACCATTTATTTTCAAACTTGATGATTTTTATTTTTAAAGTTCGATAAGTTTTAAAATATTGAAAATGTGTTCAGGCTCGTAGAACAGGATCCTCAACACCTCTAGGCGAACTCTTCGATCACGGGTAAATGAACTGCATTTAAATTATACTGATACAGCAACCCTACCCCTCTCCCCCCCTTCCACACTTCTCAATATATATATTATGTAAAGGAGGGAGTGATTCTTTATAAAATTGTTATGAATTTTTTTAGTATGGGTTCTACGTTAGGGTAATTAATAGTTAATAATCAATAGTTGTTATTTTTACTTTGATTAAATAAATATAGATATATTTAGGGAAAGGGTTGTTTAGACAATTAGGCCCCCTCCCCACCCCCCCTGTAGAATTTATATTTAAAAGTTTAACAGTATACTCTCAATAGCAATTATTTATTTACCAAATTCGTAAACTATTTTGGAATTTATATAGTTCTCTTCAGTAAACAATTGTTTTTATTTAAACTAGGCTTTTAGGGCGCTTCGCGCCCATCTTCTTTTTCAGCTTTTAATTGTGGCTTTATCTGTGTACAGTATAAAAAAACTTTAATTGGCGGATTTCATAATGTTTTTTTCGCGCATTTTCAAGATTTTACAAATTAAATAATTTAAGATAAAAATATTTTAGATTACATATTAAAATTCTCATTGGCCATAAACCTTCACTGGGATCGCCTGTGGTCCCACACAAAATTTGGGCCTGATGTTTTGACGTTTATTGGATACAAACAAACAGACAGACACCCAGACAGACTAGCTAAATTTATATATAGACTATATTTTCTTATTTTAATTTTGTTGAGGTTGGACTCCTGGGCAACAATATTTATCACTGGAAGCCTGTACTCTGTATTTGGACGGGATCTAGACCTATACAGTATTACACCCTTCAGGAAACTAGCATTCTTTATTTAGATATATTTTTAAAGATTAAACTTCAATTTTTTAACATTTAAAGGGTTCCCTAGAAAAAGCCTTTGACTAAAGACAAGGAGTTTTACAATGTTCAGAGCCCAATTTTCAAGGCCAGATAATTGAAAAGTGCATTACCGCTAACTTTAAAGTTTAGACTATTAGGGAGGGTTAAAAAAATGTGAAAAGTAAAAAGCGACAGTCCTATATAAAAACAGATACATGTAAAATTCAAGATTGCACCATAAATCTAATGATTTTCTATTGAAGGTCCTCTAAAAGTGACTGACGGATTTTTTATTGTTGTTAAGGTACCGTTGTGAATCAGACATATAGATCTTTTAATGGAGGGTCAGCTAAGCCGAATTTAACACCCCTTTACAACAGTATTGATGATATTTTTCTATATATTTCTGGAAAGGGACTGTTAGATTCATGCACCACACCAACGTAGTCAGGGGTTAAAAATCTTTAATTTAAACCGAAAACAAAGTGAAAATCACAACAAAAAACAGAATTTTCCAAATGATAACACAAGACAGTTGGATAAATAAATTTATTTAATTTAAGTTTTTTTATGTAAACACAAGACGGATGTCACAACCTGACAGGATCCATCTTTCACATAAAAAATCAATGAAATATTCTGGTCATAGGAAACTATTATGTGAATTATCAAAATTTTGAAAATTCAATGCTTTTATCTTCCTCAGATACTAAACGTACACTGATGCATCTATTCTTGTTGACAAATTCCGCTCAGAGAGAACTGGTTTCAATATGTACGCAGAGTATACGCAATTATTAATACGCAATTAACTTTCCTTGCATTGTAACCTAGCCCAAGATTATCAAATTGAGATAAAAATTCTCTCAAAATTAAATAAAAGAATTCCAAAATATGAATAGTTTCTTGTGTGAGTGCATTAAGTTTACCAGAATGTTTTGTTTTCTCTAGAATGTTCTGCATAATGTGGAATGTTTATTTTTGTTTTCTCATTTCTCATTGGGAGAAATATAATACTGGAGTTCTCTACCTACCCTGGGGGTAACTATTTAACATTATTATTTTTACAGTGCTTAGGATCCATTACATTTTGATGTTCTAGTACGTTTAGGGTACCTCGTGCATTTATGCACTTTATTTTCTTATTTTGTGAACTTTATTAAAAGATGGTTATTTTTCGACTTTTTAAAGAAATTTATCTACTTACGCTTTTTTGTTTATTTTAATAATTGTAGATTACATGATTCTTGGTCGTTCATTTTGTTTGACAAAACTTGTTGTTTTTATATAGCAACAAAATTTCGGTTATTTGACTTACTTGATCTTATTCATAAGAGGAATGGTCTCTTAGATTTTCTAATCTAATTTATATTAGATATGATCTCTCTATGCTGATCAGCTTCTTGTTGTATATTGCCTCCGCAATTGGAGGTCAAATGATGTGGAAGGTAGGTGCCTCATTTTATTGTATATTGCCTCTGCTATCGGAGGTCAAATGCTTCTAATGTTAGGAGCATTATTTTATTGTTTATTGCCTCCACTATCGGTGGGCAAATGACGTGGAAGGTAGGAGCTTCATATTATTAACTTTTGCCTCATTTCCTTGTATATTACCTCCGCCATCGGAGGTCAAACGCCGTAGAATCCATGGAGGAGCTTTATTTTATTGTTAATATTGCCTCCGTTATCGGAGGTAAAATTATTGCCTCCAATGATCTAGAAGTTAGGAAACCCCTTTTTCTGATAAATATATTGCCTTTGCTATCAGAAGTCGAATATCGTATAATTTAAAACCTTATTTTCTTACTTTCTTGTTCAATTTAATTTTATAAGATCTTCCCAAACTTGCTTAATTTAATCAATTTGTTTTAACCTTATGAATTACTCTTCCAGACCTTGAAAAACTTTTAATGTTATGGAATACTATTTCGATCTTTTCCATACCGTAAAGGTTGACTATATATTCAATTTTATCCGATGGTTTATTATTTAGATAAAATTTCCTGGAGATATATATCCTGGTCCTATCCTACAGTTTATGGTTTATTTTGGGAACCTTGGGATGACTCTACCAACAGCTCTTTACAATATATGGAAATCATACAAGGAGGTGGGTCTTATTTTGGGCTTGTTTATTTGAATTTTTAAATTTATGCTTAAATATTGTTGGCTAGCATGAAGACCACCAATAGACTGTACCATAAATCCACATACTTCTAGGTTCTATTCTTGAAAATTATCAACTTTTTATAAATCGTTAAAATTAAAAAAAAAAATGAAATGTTCTAAGTTCGTGCTGTTTTTTTTGATAAATAAAAAGCTGAATTGGGTCAAAACGTTTTCATCCCCAAGGATTATTTTTAATTATGCAAGTATTAGGTATCAAAGGAAAACATTGCAAATATAAACATCTGCAGTGCGAGAGAGGGGGTGCAGGGCCGTCATGAGCCCTGCTAAATGACCTCTGAATCCTCCTGATACGCAGAATACCCTCTAAGCCTCTCCCTACGTCTCCTAGCCTCCACCATTCATGTCTCCACGCCCCGCACATATTTGGCTTAATGATACATAACAATTTTGTATTGAAAAGTCAATTTTAAAAGATTCTTTTATTTGTTAAAAACTATTGCAGTTTTATATAAAAATATAGAAATTTTATATTAATTACAGTACAAATCAAACTTTTCACATAAACAAGTTAATTGAATGAAATAATGTTTGAAATTTGTGGATTAAACGATTCATTTAACTACTGTTGATTCTACTTTGAAGAGTTATATTTTGATTTTTAGTTGGTAAAGCCATGAAAGGTAAATGAATAATAAGTTCAGCAAGCGGAGCTCAAAATGCAGGGCGCGGAGACAGAATAGCAGAGGCTACGAGACTTAGAGAGAGGTGAACGGCGATGGTCTTGCGTGGCTTGGATGTCGTTCTGAAGATCAGGAGGCTCCGGAGGTCATTTCGCTGGGCTTATGGCGGCACTGCACCCCCTTCCTCGCATTGCATCTTCAGGAATTCAATTCTATAAACCAATACCATAGTTTTCTACCCAGGAGTAAATATTTTCAACAACAAAAAACAAAAAGTTTTTTTTGCTACATGGGAAAAAAGAAATGCAATTTTGCTGAACTTTGAAAATCGTTCACGGGGGTTCGTTATCAAAAATAAACCCAGGTGATTTTTTCCCGAAAATATATACCCCTGGTATGGCCTGCAGGCCTGCTAGTAGAATACGGACAAGGTTTTCCAATTATTTGAAGTAATTTTTAAATAATGTTTATCCAAGTTGTATTTTTAAATAATGTTTATCCAAGTTGTATTTTTAAATAATGTTTATCCAAGTTGTATTTTTAAGTAATGTTTATCCAAGTTGTATTTTTAAATAATGTTTATCCAAGTTGTATTTTTAAATAATGTTTATCCAAGTTGTATTTTTAAATAATGTTTATCCAAGTTGTATTTTTAAATAATGTTTATCCAAGTTGTATTTTTCTTAGTGACTTTTTATACAGGTTTAATCTTTTTGTCTAATCCTAAAGGATTTCTAAAGGCAGCACCTCATTTTTCTAGATGTTTATTTATTTATTTATTTATACGCAAATCTATCATATAATTCAAAAATGTAAAATATTTTTTGTTTGTTTTTAAATTGGGGAACAGTCCCTTTTTAAGGAAGGGTTACGCCAAATTTGATTATCAATCTCTTCCTAAGATTCACGACTGTTATATATTCAGGGAACAGGAAAAAACCGACCCTTCTTAGAAGCTATGCGTCCTCTGGTGTCCACTAGTCTTGCAATGGGATTCTGCTTCTTCTGGGTTCTCCGCTCTCCAAACTCTATTGTGGAGAAGGACACAAGATGTGTTTTCTACCTCACAGGTCCCACACTACTCATGCTCAGGGGTGTACTCAGGAATTTGTCCAGGGGAGGGGGGGGGCTTCAGCACTCCAAATTTTAACCTTGAGAGAAAATTATACAAAAAGGAAGCAAAAACTATCGTTTTTTTGTCGTTCTCGTTTTTATTTTTTAGGATAAAAATATAGCTAAGTTTTTTACATGGAAACTTTAACAAAAAACAGTTTTTTAAGTTTTATTAAACAAAAAACGATTTACAACACTAGTCTCGATTTAGTTCTAAAAGCTTTTATTTGTGGCTGTTTTTGATTTTTGGATATTGGGTTATTAATGTTAAAAGCAACGTGAAAAATTGTATATTTGTGATTGTGTGTTTGTGAATTTATGTTGCCTAAAACTGAGGCCGAATTTATAGAATTTGAACCGTGTTGCTGAACCGCCAATATCCGGCTCCAATTGAGCACAGCCACCAATCTTGAAACACTTTTAAAAGTTCCTGTCCAACCAACCATGTTTCTACCAAGTCTAGACGCGGTTCAAATTAAAACGCTCGGCGAAATGTAACTTCAATAATAAAAAATACCACGTGCAACGCTGGGCACTTTAGAAAACAAAACATGTTAAAAGAAATTATTGATTTTAATTGTTTTTACTTTTCATAATTTGACTATTTTTTAAACACTTTTCTCTTTTTAGGGACAATTTTTGCAAACATCTGCTGTAAGCTGATTATTGCTCAGATGTCTAGTACTCGCAGTGAGCTTCTGAGGTACTATTTGTTTCTTAAACTAAACTTGTGTTTGATTACCCACAATGGAGGAGACTTCAGAGCGAATTTACGGAATTTAATTAGTCTTTTTCTTACATTCTTGATTCCCTGAAAATAAAAACTTGCTGAATTCTTTATTTATTGTATCATTAAAGGAAAACATTTAAGACAGTAGACCAAGATTTACCTTTAGATTGTTAAATTTAAAGTGTTTCAAGTCGTCATTGAAAAAATTCACAATCGTGAATCTTCGCTCTTATCTTGTTCTTGGAATTTTGAATTTTTTTCTTGGCACATCAGACAAGTTGAAAAATTTATCAGTTCAAGATTTTTTTATTAAATCAAGCGGGGTTAATTTGGTTTTTAAGTCTGATTTTGTATAGTGGCATCCTGGTACCCGTTGGAGTTGGTTGTCTGGTAGGAGGGTTAGCAAACCTCTCGGAGAATCAAGAACTTGCACTTCTTTACTCTTTAACAGGTCAGAGAATTTCAGAGTTACCAGAGAGTAGTGCATCCCAACAAAATCCCAAAATGATTAGTTAAAAAAATCCCCAAAAGAAAAATAAAAGCACTGTCAGAGGAATAGTTTCAGATTTACTAATTTTTGCACTTCATAAATTGCCTTTTAACTTCCCCTTCAAAAACAATCGTCTAAGGATAGAAACTAATGTATCAGTTGATTAATGACACAAGTCTAGTCTGAATCAACATTTCAAGGACTAAGCCAATGTCTGAAGCCACTTCCCCACTGCACACTAACAGTCACCTGGATTAGTCCATCTTGGTACTAGTCCAGTATGAAGTTTTTTTAAATATTTCTCATATTATTATTTAATTGATTAATTAGAGCTGATAAGATAAATCTAGACAAATCAGTTTTCATGGCAGGTGACCTGCCAAGCTTCAATTAAGACTACTGCAGCCTCCTCCCTGTTTCAAGCAGCGCATTTTTACTGGCACGCCCCCCTCTCCCCCCGCCATTCCCACTCCAATATAAGTCCTTCGCACTAGTTCTAATGAGTCAACGCCCCTTCTCAGTTCACCCATTGAAAACTCGGAGATGATAAACCTCCTACCTTGAGCTGATACAGATGGGCACTTTAAAACTATGTGGGCTTCACTTAGTCTAAACTTAACTCCCCTGTCCATGCATCATGGACTTCAAATAGGAGCACACCAATACCTGTCCATGCATCATGGACTTCAAATAGGAGCACACCAATACCTGTCCATGCATCATGGACTTCAAATAGGAGCACACCAATACCTGTCCATGCATCATGGACTTCAAATAGGAGCACACCAATACCTGTCCATGCATCATGGACTTCAAATAGGAGCACACCAATACCTGTCCATGCATCATGGACTTCAAATAGGAGCACACCAATACCTGTCCATGCATCATGGACTTCAAATAGGAGCACACCAATACCTGTCCATGCATCATGGACTTCAAATAGGAGCACACCAATACCTGTATTTGAACCTATTCCCTGATTGGGATGTAGAACTCGAGGTAAAATGTCCCTGTTTAACCGAGAGAACAGCAATGCAATACACTACAGCTATATATTTACCAGTGCTTTCTTAGAGCTGTAGTTGGAAATTACCTATATAAACCTTCCTACATAAACTTAATATAGCATAGCATCTTTTCCACTTTCCTGGCTCAAAACAGAAATGTTTCCCCAAATCTCCAAATGGTTTTAAATCCCCAATTTTATACCAAATTGGCACCTCTTATTATGATCTTATTTTAACATTTTTTCTACTCTGAATTTTAAAATTGCACGTAGAGGATTTTTTGCTTTGCCTGCACTTAATTTTTATATATATACATTAGTTGCTCTGGATCCTATTCCCTTTCTTGCTTAGATTCTCAAGTTTTAACCAATATCTTTGTATGTTACACTCTCCATAAGAAGATTGGTTTCTCTCATTAAGAAAAAGTTGAAATAGTTTAAAGGAAATTGTTGTATGGTGCCAACCCTGTGATAGATTAGAAAACACTTGGGAGAATAAAACTCAAATAAAACGGTTGCTCAAGGGAATATATCTGACTTAGAACAATAAATGTATATTTGATGCCGGAGCCGGAAGTTTAAATTAGAAAATCATAGTTTGCTGATCCGGAGATTTAAGATTAAGCACTAATTTAAAAGCTCTACGTTAGTAATTAAGAAAATAGCTCACATGTTATTAGACTGTGTTTCATCCTTGATTAAGTAAAGTCAGTTCAACGTTGAAGCATGGGTTGTAGAGCATAAAAGTCTGATCTGATTTGATTTGGATGAAAATCTGTTGAGACTGATTGATGAATAATTAAGAAATATTTTACACTAACATAAGATAAATCTGGATTCTCGAGCAAAAAGTATCCAAATTTAAATTCATCTCAGTAAATGGTTTTCGATTTTTTCTATAACCATAAATCATTTTAGTGCTTAGGATCCGGATCCATTGGATCCGCAAGATTTTTGCTTCCTGGATCCGGATCCGGATCCGCATATATATCAACCAAGGGATAAAATATCAACCAAAAACTGCAAAAACAACTTTTTTACTCCTAAAATCCAACTCTGAACTTTAGAAAAAAAAGATTATAAAAATTTCCTCATTTCTGAATGGTTCATCAAGTTACAGAATTAAAATAAGCGAAAAAAATAAAACAAAATATTTGGAAATTATTTTTTGTTAAACAAATTCAGTAAATCTTAAAGAAATGACCGGGATCCGGATCCGGAACCATTTTTTTCCAGTGCGGATCCAGGATCCGGATCCGGATCCAAATTAAATGGATCCTAAGCACTGCATTATACATTATAGAATGCTAGAGGTCGGAGTACAAAATTCTTTATAAGGGACAGGAAGCATATTTTAAGTGACCCTGTATGCAAAGATGGCTATGCCTGATTCACAACAGTACAGTACTTTGATATCAATCTTTTTAACTTTGAAATCAGATTATTTTAAATATGGTTTCTCTGCAATTGTGACTTGCGCATTTCTAGGGCAGGAAAACATTTTTAAACCTAAAAAACAACAATATCTTCCACATTATTGATAAGACAACTTGGTTTCAAGGGCATTACGCCATCTACTATGAAGGGTTCCTTGATTTTACGCTTACAAACCCTTTAGCTTATTTAAATAAATGCATATATTGGCGTACAATCCCTTTATCTGTTCAGTTGTGGTAACTTTGATACATCTACACTACGGAGTGTGCGTGGTGAGAGAGATGTGCGGTCACTTCCGGATCCACGCGTTCAGTATAACCTCGAAACCTGCCGCTACCAAGATCACGGATATTCAAAGGTTACTGGAGAGTGATGAAGACATTGTCTAGTTTTCTTTTTGTAGATTTAGTTAAATCCTGTAATCTTGGTTTCTGTTTTCTTTCAAGCATGTGTATTTGTATGTTTTAAACCTTGCTTTTCTTCTGTTTTGTTCCAAGCTTTTTATCTTTTTGTTCTTGTCAATCTTGTCAACATTGTTCAAAATAACGAAATATTCGATACTTTCTTCTGTTCTGTTCCAAGCTTCTTATCTTTTTGTTCTTGTCAATCTTGTCAACATTGTTCAAAATAACGAAATATTCCATACTTTCTTCGAAAATTAAATTATCACTAACAAATTATGGCAAAAAATGAAGCCTGCATTTATATGTCCAATTCACAACGGTACTTGAACCATTGTCTAAGACGAAACGACGAATATAATCTTGTTTTTCTAGCTGAAAATGTATCATAAACCCGAGGGCGCATCCCGAGGGGGTTTTAATTTCCATTGATTCTAACTTGTCTGAGAGTAAATGACATTTCTTTGTAAAAAATAGCAAAGTATTTTTATTATTTATTATTATTTTCAAAAGGGGCGGGATTAAATAAAAATTGTTGCATACCAAAAAACCAGCATTTTTCAAAGGAATGTATCTGTTTCAATCATGGTTTTTTTTTATGCAGAACAGGCAAAGAACTTAATTTACCTTTTTTACAAGAAAAACTCTTATATCTATCTCATTGTTACTAAGTTTTACAGGGGGTACCATTGTCAAGTTTAACTGGAGAGGGGGAAGGGGGGGAGGAATTTATATAAAGAAAAGAAATGTTTAAAGAATTCCGAAAACGAACTCCTACATTGAAACAGTAAAACTGAATATTTTATTTTTATTATCACCAGTGCAGTTCTACAATTTTAAGATCTTGAAAAAATTCACTTTTCTAATTTGCATTTGAACCAAGTTGTCAGATTATAAATCAAATTTGTATTTACGAATCTTTAAAAGTTTCTGCGTATCATTTTGTCAAATTAAATTGTTTAATGTATAAAATGTTTTAAATCCGGGAAACTAAAAATAAGTGGATTTTCATGCAAAATCTAAATTATTGGGAATCCATCTTTGAACAGCCAAATTTACTCTAAAAAAGTTAACATGTGACCCCCTGGGTTTTCTTTTTATTCCAAATATAACGATGTAGAAATTATTTGACTAAAAACATTGTTAAACATATTATTGAGAGATATCAAGGATTGATAAAGGTTTGTAATCAACACTGGAATCATTTCCTTGAATTAATCTATATTAAGAACGCTTACATGCTTCATTAAATTCTCACAAAGGACAAGCTTTCTACAAACTCAATATTTTTTATCAATTGAGATAATTGCATGCATGTATCTTTATGTACCTATGTCCAGTTTTTTGCTTTTAAAACAATCACAGTACAAAAACATTCAAGTGCCTAAGCGCAATATGATTCTAACTAAAATAATTTATTGTAGAAATGGGCATTGTTCGTTTATAAACATAATTTTTTTGCTTAACATAAAGGGTGCCCCGGACAATAAACGGCTTTTGAGACACGACTTGGAGGTCGTCATACACGATTCTTTAAAATTATTTCAAAAATCTCCTGGTACTGGCATTTACAAAATTTGGTCCTTTGTTTTGATTTTAGTATTTTTGGAAATTTCGTTCAGATTTCAACATAATTATTAAAACCAAAATTGATAAATTCTAAACGAATTCTTCATATCTCCGGTCAATTTAAAGCTCAAAAATGGTAGACCACAATTGGAAATGTTTGGACTAATGGTATTTTTATTACGTTTTAAGAAATTAATTTGCTTCTAAAATTATGTTTAAGACTGAATGCCGCAAATTATTTTAATCGTCAAATACAACCTTCATGTCGCTTTGGAACTGTATGTTTTGTAGGACACTCAGTAGTCTGTATATCCCAAAAAATCTAAGTTATTAATCACACACAATTCAAATAGTATTCTCTATAAATTTTTACTCAGAAGATATTACCCACAAACATTTATTTAAAAGATGCCCATCTTTACAGAGAATATTAACCACATTTATTTAAAAGATGCCCATCTCTACAGAAAATATTAGCCACATTTATTTAAAAGATGTCCATCTCTACAGAAGATATTACCCACAAACATTTATTTAAAAGATGCCCATCTCTACAGAAGATATTAGCCACTTTTATGTAAAAGATGCCCATCTCTACAGAAGATATTAACCACAAATATTTATTTAAAAGATGCCCATCTCTACTGAAGATATTAACCACAAATATTTATTTAATGTAGGCCCATCTCTACTTGTGGAATTATTTAGTTTTGTAGAGAAGGGTTGGGCGAACGTTCCTTACCACCCCCCCCCTTATTCACTATAGTTGCACTTCGGCGAATGTTCTTATTTTGCTTGCTACTAATTAAACTTGTGATAAATTATATTTATCGTCTTTTCGTGTCACTGTGCAGTTTGCACTTTACAGTGGTTTGGGATTTAGTTTCGTTGGGAGAGAGTTGGGTTTTATTTGGGAAGGGGCACAGTGGTTCCAAATGGGGATGTTTCCTTAAAATCAATTTTTATTTTTTGAAATTAACTATTGATTTAATTTTTAAAAAGTTTGTCGTTTATAGGGAAAAAAAATGTTCATTAGTAAAGAAATGGTTCAGAGCATTTGCATGCATCTAATTCCATCGGGGATACAATCTGATGTTCATCATATCTACGATATCTAAACAGTATACAATCTGATGTTCATCATATCCACGATATCTAAACAGTATACAATCTGATGTTCATCATAGGGAATGCATTTAATGAAAGTTGTAGAATTATTTTATCTCCCAACAAAACTGGGTCTGAATATTTAACTCGCCATTAATTGACTTTCTCAGCTTCCAATTCTTTGAAACTAAATTAACGATTAAAAAATAATTTTATCATTTAATTGTTAGTTTTGTTTTACCGTTTTGTTTACAGGCATAAATTTGGTTTCAAATCATTGCTTTTTATCTTAATACACTTAAGAAAGTTCTAATTCATTCTTTTAAATTCTGTGAGAAAAAATATTTGTTAAAGTTTTTTTTTCGTGTTTTTGTCCAAGTATATAAAAATGTTTAAAATGGTCAAAAACATAGAAACTCCATTGAAACCTAATATATCTTTTGACTAGTCCCGTTATATAACCCAGTATATGTATTTATAACAATTTTTTTATTTTTGTAGAATAAATTTTTTTGTTTTCTGACGTTTTCGTTTTTTACCCTTTTCAGAGTAATTTAGTATTTCTTTTTAATTAAGTAGTTTCATTATGCAGATTTTTGCTAATTATTCTCGCAGAAAACTGATGCTAATGCAAATTTTGAATCTTCTCTTAAACCATGATGCGGCATATTTTGTTTATAAATATCATTTCCAGGCTTTGTTTCCATCTTTGTTGGAAAGTTTCTTTAAACTTAAAAGATTTCCGTATTGTTCCTCTTTTTCCCGCCAAACTCTCTTCTTGCGTCTATCCTAAGTTTTAAACCTAGAGGAAACGGACCTACGGCTTTTCCGACCTCAACACTTAATAGGTCTTTTAGTTTATAATAGGCTAAATCATGCGGGTGAAAGTTGAAATAGGTTTTTTAGATCCCCGAAGTGTATAATTTTACCATAAAAACTGCACATTTATTAGGTTGTTAAGTCTTTTGGTCGGTTTCCTCTAGGTCAGTTTCCATAGCATCAACCAGGCTTTACCAGAGCATATTTTACTTCATCATGGGGGCAAAGTCGGAAATAATGTGGTTTTATTTTCAGAAACGGGATCTTGAAACAGGATTAAAATCAGAATCAGAAATACTCTCCATGGTAAAATAAGTAATCTGTGTTCTTCCAAATCAATCTGATGTTCATCATATCTACGATAACTAAACAGTATACAATCTGATGTTCATCATATCTGCGATATCTAAACAGTATACAATCTGATGTTCATCATATCTACGATATCTAAACAGTCTGATGTTCATATCTACGATATCTAAACAGTATACAATCGATGTTTATATCTACGATATCTAAACAGTATACAATCTGATGTTCATCATATCCACGATACCTAAACAGTATACAATCTGATGTTCATCATATCTACGATACAGTATACAATCTAATGTTCATCATATCTACGATATCTAAACAGTATACAATCTGATGTTCATCATATCTACGATATCTAAACTGTATACAATCTGATGTTCATCATATCCACGATATCTAAACTGTATACAATCTGATGTTCATCATATCTACAATATCTAAACAGTAAACAATCTGATGTTCATCATATCTACGATATCTAAACAGTATACAATCTGATGTTCATCATATCCACGATATCTAAACAGTATACAATCTGATGTACATCATATCTACGATATCTTAACAGTATACAATCTGATGTTCATCATATCCACGATATCTAATCAGTAGAATCTGATGGCCATCATATCTACGATATCTAAACAGTATACAATCTGATGTTCATCATATCCACGATATCTAAACAGTATACAATCTGATGTTCATCATATCAACGATATCTAAACAGTATAAAATCTGATGTTCATCATATCTACGATATCTAAACAGTAAACAAGTTGTAATTTTTTTCTTCAAGTGCATTTACCAAAGGGAAGTTTAAAAGTTTAGACCTCCCCAAACGAGCCTGCTTTACAGAGTTTGTATCGGCCAATCTGACAAGGTGCAGACACAATTCAACCATGTATTTTTTCTTTTAAGTTTTCTTATTCAATTTTTTACTCCCGTCAACTAATTCCTAATCGTAAAGAAACCCGTTCACTAGTCACATTGTAGGCTTGCAGCCAGACATGGAAAAAAGGCATTTGAAGTAAGGAAGTCATGGTTTTAATTTAAATCTTTGAAGAAAAATATATCTTATAAAATACAAACATAAAAAATAAGGTTCCCGGAGAAAAAAAAATTATTCTGGTTCAATGAATTATCCTGGGTTTACTGAAATAACCCAGGTTCATTGGATTACCTACAGGGTTCACTGGATTAACTTGGGTTCAAAGATTTAAATAGGGTGAAATGGATTTACCAGGGTTAACTGGATTAACCAGGGTTAACTGGATTAACCAGGGGTTAACTGGATTAACCAGGGGTTAACTGGATTAACCATGTGTTAACTGGATTAACCAGGTTTAACTGGATTAACCAATGGTTAACTGGATTAACCAATGGTTAACTGGATTAACTAAGGTTCAAAGTATTAACCAGGGTTAACTGGATAAACCAGGGTTAACTGGATTAACCATAGTTAACTGGATTATCTAGGGTTAACTGGATTAACCAGGGTTAACTAGATTAACCAGGGTTAACTGGATTAACCAGAGTTAACTGAATTAACCAGGGTTAACTGGATTAACGAGGGTTAAATGGATTAACCAGGGTTAACTGGATTTACCAGAGTTAACTGGATTAACCAGGTTTAACTGGATTACCCAGGGTTAACTGGATTTACCATAATTAACTGGATTCACCATAATTAACTGGATTATCTAGGGTTAAATGGATTAGCCTGGGTCGAGACCAAATTAGGTAGATTCTTTGATCATTATAGTCTTGAAAATACTAAGATTAAAGTCCAGGCTGGCCTAATCAGAAATGGAAATATAATGTTTTAAACGTAATTTCAATATTCTAAGCGTAAAATAGGCCCATATGGTCTAATTTCTTTATTTTGATATAATTGATAAACAATTTAACGCGGATTTTTATTGATGCTTTATACACCTTTACTTCTATAACTGGAATGAATGAAATGTTTTTTTATGAAAACATAAAAGTATTTTCTAGACATTAGCATTTTTATTCCTATTTATTCCATGAATACGGTCTGTTTTTAGGACTCTCTTGGGCCTGGTTCATCAAGGTTATACTTTAGTTTTTAGCTCTTAGGAATACTTAAATAATATTCAAACCTAAGGTTGAATCTAAGACATGCATCATGATACTATAAGAGCAACCTCATAATGTTAAAATAATACTCTTTTATTACCTTAATTAATGCATCAGAAAAATCTTTTGAGCGAAATTTTAAGCGTTCAAAATTTGCGATACCCGATATACAACAGAACCCTTAAAACCTTTATCTGATCAATAATGTGGAAGATATTGTCGTTTTTATAGGTTTCAAAGTGTTTGATTCTGATGATTCATTTACTTTTGCTGCAGCTAAGAAATGCGCTAGTCAATTAGATGAACAAATACAACTGATAATAATCAGTTTTTAAGATTATAAACACATGATATTTATTATCTAGTTCTTACTTCAGACAAAGCTTTTAATATCATGTATGAATCAATATCATGAAAGTTTATGAACTAAACCTTAACCAAAAACAATTAGTTTTTGTTTGGGCCTGAAAGGATTGTAAAAATACATTTTGTTTGGGTCTGAAAGAATTGTAAAAATATATTTTGGACCGGTCCTTGTTGTTAAACTGATTAAAACTGAGAGCCGAAAATAAAAAGAGCATCGATGAGTTTAGATAAATTTTTATCTAAAGAAATAATTTTTTTTCAAAATTGTTATTTCAAGATTGTTTTACCCCATTTAGAAAAACTCGGTTTCCGGAATTGGGTTTCATCCGTTTTCCTTTCTTAAGTTTCGGACTCGCGAGTAATAAATCTTGGATACTATTTCTACACTCAAATTACTGCACCATGACAAATTCCCGAATTCATTAAATGCATAGGTAAAAATTGCCTAGGTATAGAATAAACAAATAAATGTAAATACCAAAAAAGCTTTCTTCTGTTGCTTCCTTTAAATCAATCAAATTGAATCAAGATAATTTATCACACGAAGGTAGTCAAAAATAAAATTAAAATTAAATACCAAAAAAGCTTTAAATTGATCTTGAAAAAACGCAGCTCTTTCTTTCGTTGCTTCCTTTAAATCAAATTCATAGATAGTTATTTATGTGAATGTAATTTTTAAATGTTTTTGAACTGGTTTTATCCTTATAAATTCAGTAAAACGCCGAAAAAAGGTAATATGTTTTAAGAATATGACCAAAAGTGTTTTTATAATGTAATGAAGGTTAATGTACATCCCTGCTTATAGTCATTCTTTGATACGGGGCCTGTTATTATTTTCTTTATACTCTAAAAGTTGTTTGTAAATGTAATCGTTGTATTTTATATA